ACAGATAACTGTATGCTTAAAATTAATCTTATAGAAAATATATTAAACAGATAGTCTAAATACAAATGTCAAAATACATACTACCTAACAAAAATTGGTTCTAAGAAGAAGACAAATAATTTGAGCTACGTATAGATAAAATCGGATAACATGATAAAATAAAGACATTATAACTATTAAATATAAAATATAAAATATATGATGCGGTAGGTACAAACAGGTATACAGACCACAGATTACAGCAAATTTAAAATAGAAAAACTAATAAAATTAACTATTGATAAAATTTATACTATGATCCGGCAACTACCCAAAATTAACCCTGGCGCAATTTTTTGTCAATTAAGTTTTTAAATGTTTTAAAGTTTATCAGGTCTATGTCTATGTCAGATGCATACAAATTAAAAAGATTGCAAAGACCATAAATGGGGGAGCTTTTAAATAGGTTGGTTAGTGGAAAAGCTAGGTAGAAGATATTTGTGGTTCTAGAATTACAACGATTTACAGAAAATGGTAATTGTTCAAGGATATCAGGGCAGTCGATGTCACCCTTCAGAATTTTAAACATAGTACATAAGAAAATCTTCACACGTCTCTTACCCAAAGATAGTCTATTGAAAACTCCTAAGAGGAAGCCATTATCACAACCCCTCTGAGGGTAGACTCCAAACCTTCTGTAATACATAGTCTTTAAAAATTGTCTTTGCACTCCCTCAATAATATTTATCCATACGTTATATTGGGGCGACCATATCAAGCACCCATACTCCAAGATAGGCAACACCAGACTATCAAATAAATGAGGGCTTACATCAACCCTAAAAGTCTTAGTATTGCGTGCTATAAAACCTGCTATCCTCTGTGCGCTCTGTATCTTTGTTATATGTGTTCAGAGAATGAAAGACTGCTGTCAAAAATGACTCCCAAGTCCTTCTGCTTACTAACTTTATCAAGTTTTTCGCCAGCCACTCATGGTATAATTAAAATCTATTGGTTTCTTATTAAGTGTAAAAGACATACAAGCACACTTGCTTGAATTTAACTTAAAACTATTTTCTTGACACCAATTAACAACATTAGAAAATTCGTTTTGTAACAATTCACAATCAATAGAAGAAATAATCTCCAAAAAAAGTTTAAAATCATCGGCAAACAAAAGAGCCATACTGCCCTTAACATTGCTGCGAATGCTGTTTATAGCAATTATAAAAAGTAATGGTCCCAAATTAGATCCCTGGGGTACTCCCGACGTACTCTGGTATAGAACAGACTTACAGCCTTTAATCTCAACATATTGAAATCTGCCAGTTAAGTATGAACTTGTAAGTTTAATTAAAAATGGAGAAACTTCCATGTCAAACAAGGCATTTATTATCCCAGAGTGACTAACTCTATCAAATGCCGTCTCCATGTCTGTATAAATTACGTCAACTTGAGTTTTGTTGTTTAAGGCATTATGAATATATTGTGAAAAACATGCCAGATTTGTAAATGTTGACTTCTTTGGCAAAAAACCATGCTGATTGGGGGAAAGTTTTGCTGTAACTTCGTTATATAAAATCTCAAAAATTATGACCTCAAATATTTTAGATACAGCGCACACAATAGATATAGGGCGGTAGTTTCTAATGTTTTGCCTTATGCCATTCTTATAAATTGGTATGACCTTGGCTACCTTCCATTTATCAGGATATATTGAGGTTTTGATGACCAAATTAAATAAAAACTGAAGGGGGCTACTATAAAATGTGCCTAGTCATTTGAATCCCAATTATGCACGAATCAGGTAAATCGTTAAATGTTCAATGAATTAATATTTAAATGATAATCACAGTAAAAAAAAAGGGCCCTAGTATATGCGCATATCTTCGGTTCACAGTAATTTAAATAGACCTATCTCGCATGATTAGAAAAAGAGAGCTTAATAAATAAAAGTAATAAATACAAGTTAGAAAGAAATAAAAGATGACATGCGCGCGCAACTCGTAGGCTGCAGTGTAGCCAGATTGTATTGTTGCAGAATAAATGTAGACAATATACAAATCGAATATTATAACATTAAAGAAGTGATATAGTGTCAAGTGTTTTACAGTGCTTTATATCAGACAAAAAAAGAGTTTTAAAGTGGATGAACATCACTTGCACTTTTATTTTGATAAATGTTTCCTCCGGCAACATCGCTCAATGAAATTGCAAAGGAATATGTCAAGTATAATCTTAAACGAAACTGCGGTGAGTTCAAGTAATATGTAAAGAATTAGTTTGCTCTTTGTCAAATTACACGTTACAAAAAAAGAAGGAACAATTCATTCTGAACTGGCCCCTGAATAAGAATATGACGCAAGCCTGTCACAAACTTGCTTCTCATTGGACTCTCACCTGCAGCCTACAAGCGACGCGCGCAGTCCAGGTAATAGGAGATAGGTCTATTATAAGCATTTCATTAATGAATAATGACTGGCTGATAAAAATGACATGTCAATATGTCATAAAATGTTAATTAAAATATTGATAAAATTAAAATATTGATAAAATCCCGAAAATATCCATTATGGAACGAAAAAACCCTGGCATTAGTAATTCTTGGTGAGTCAAGAAGACAGTAGCTTGCCGATTCTGTTGATTCAAGAAGGCTTATCGGGTAGCTGGACAATTCGACCGCATGGTCTGGGTTTCATCCTTTCCATTTCAGGAAAACGGGGCCAAAGTCGACCAAAACGTGGGCTTATTGATGACTGGCGGTTTGGTAGGTAACAAAATGGTACGGCAAGTAGGTCGCAATAAGGTAGGTAAGTAAGTAAGGGCCTAAGAAGACAATTATTATCTGTGATGGGTTCTGACAATTATAAAAATGTGGTACAACTTACCCTAGATGCTGTATGACCCTTTGTGGGAGAATTTAAAAACGGGCTTGAAAATGTTCTGTTTATTCCCAGAAAAATGAGCAGGAGCACTGCTAACAATCAGACTAGTCTTAATGGGACAGAATTTTCCAGAATGCGCTTTTGAAATCGGCAAAATGCCACGAGGATTTTGCAGCTTTCTCAGCTAAGCAAATCTTCAGAAAAGAAGGAGCCCGTGAAGAAAATTAATTAAATAGTCAAATTTCAACCCAAAAAAATAATGTCAAAAATGTCCCAGATGGGAAGCGTTTTCTTTTTGACCCATTAGGTTCGCCTGAAATCAAGTTCGGAACTGTGCTTTACTTGATACACTAATTAGAGTATTTAGGGCGACCGGTGTACAATCTCAGTACCGATTGCCGAAACCCAAAATAGGAAGAGAACCGAGGTACTCTGTCTGTCAATTATCATAATATGACCACAACCACAACACCTGATCGGCTGTGTTTATATTTACCCCAAATGACATATTGATATTTTGAATAATTTAGGGGTAAAAGAAAACAAAAGAATTCAATAATAAAACCCATCACAGCATTGGTGTTAAGCGCATCCTAGAGGATCGTGATGATTAATGTGTTTTATGTCCTTTAACCGAAAAATTAGGTCTAAGACAGGCAACGGCGCCTTCAAGCCAAAAACTTCGTATTACTCCAGCTCCTAAATGAAAGGAACTGATCTGCTGCAAAACACTTCAACACCTCGCCCAAAGGTAACTAAGCTCAAGACGCTGAATTTATTCATTTTTTTTCCAAAAGATCCTCAACTTGAAGAGAAATACACTCAATTTATGGAAAAATAAATGAAACTCAATACTCAATCATATGATAACATGCCCGCAACTAAACTGAACAGTAGCCCATACTACATTCCTCATCAGCCTGTAATAAAAGAATCCAGTTCCAGTTCAAAATACATTGAGAGTAGTATTTGATGCCTCAACTCAAGCAAAACTTCAAATGGAATCAGTTTCAATGATGCAATGTACTCAGGCCCGAAACTTCAGCAGGAACCATATATTATAAAGGCGCTGCTTTTTCTGCCATTTTAAGATAGAGACTTTCAAATTATTTTTAAACTGAAAAATAAATAATTTTTCCACAATCCACATAAACTTCATTAACATAAACCGGTTTTTTGACAATTAGATTCTTTTTAGGTTATAAAGTTTGTCGCTTTGTTTTGATTGGCCGAAATTCGTTTTTTTATGATTGGCAACGGCACACAAAGGTAATCGCCGGGAACTCGTTCCCTGTATTTCGAGAATACTCACATTGTGCTATGAGAGAAATCAAAAGGGAAGTGAACTAGTCACTTCACATGCACAGAGTTCACTTCTCACGTCGTCAAGAATAGCCGTCCTGATGAGAATATAAGTGGTTTTAATGCCTGCCTCCTGTTCGAAATGTCCACAGAATTTTTCGCCGGAAAACCCGATTTCGAACTGTGATTACTATCTGGCGATTTTTCAGCGTTATTTTCACAACAAAACCTTTCATTCTCTCGATTTCCAGACAAAAAGTAAACGCGGAAGGTTCTTTTCTTTTCTCTTGGAAGTTGACACCCATCCCCATTTTTTCAGCTATTGAAAAGCATCTGATATTTTTCATGGGTGAATTATTTATCAATGTCAATCTTTTATTTAAAAGCCAGAAAATTTGAGACCATTAAAAAAAAATTCTTCATGTAAGTCAATTTTTTTCTTCTGCAAATTTTCGAACGGGAGGCCGGCATTAAAATCACCCATATTCTCATCAGCTTAGGAGCCACATTCAGCCCTCAAAATGGCAGACAACAAAAAATGACTCCACTAAACAGCCCCTATCTCACAGTCTATTTGTCATAGATGAGCTTATTGAGTTATTTAACCAGTTTCAATTCAGGTTTGCTGCCTTTTGTACTGATGTACAATTTCATTCCCAAGTGGTGTAATAATCCTGGCGAAATGTATTTTGTACGCATTCTAAACTATTCAATCATTTCAAAGAAGCGAGGATAGAAGCTACATTGAGATTTTACATTACACTATTGAACTGGTCAATTGGAAAATTTTGTTTCATTTTATTCTAATGAAATTATACCAATATTAATGTTTACCTGTTGGTGTAGCAGGGGACATAGCTTTCTCCTTGAGAGTTGCCCTGCGTCTAGCTTCTCTTGCAACTGCATCTCGTCCTTCGTTAGTGTAGCTTCTAATAGCAGCACGAGTTGGCAGCTTCTTGACCAGGCTCTGTTGGATTACAGGAGCCCTGCAGATTCTGCTTGCTAACATTAAAGCCATTTTTTGCCTCTTAGGGAGTACTCCTTGGAAATTAATAGGAATTTTATTATGCTAATTTATGAAAACAGAAAACAGACTAAGCATCAAGCTAAGCATCCAGATTCAGGGTACAACTAACCCTTACAGCATTCAGCTGATCTGCCTCTGGATGCTGATTCCAACAAAAGAACTGACCAAAAAGTCACTTATTTATAATGGCAGAAAATTTCCTAACCATCTACCAATTCAGGTAAAGTCTGCCAACAGTGTAGTAAAATGCTTTAGACAGCTATGTAAGGGTATTCTATTAACTCAGGCACTCGCTAAGGCATACCCTAGAAGAACCAGGGTTGGAAAAAACCTACGATTTGGGAAAAATTTTTTTAGGTTTTTAGGTTTTTTGAGGTGTTAGGGATATTTTAGGTTTTTTAAGGTTTGTTAAGGTTTTTTAAGGTTTTTTAGGTTTTTTTAGTTCCTAACAGTTGTAACACATTATTGGTGATATAGGTATGTTAAATTATTCACCTAATGATAGCTAAACCAATGAATAAAACATAGATATAGAATTCTGGAAAGAAGTAGTTAACAATATTAGGTAAATAGTGTAGTGCTAAGTGTTTTTTTCTTTTTTTTTTTTTCAAAAAACCTGAAAAACCTAAAATGCCCATATTTAGAAAATAGGTTTTTTGGAAAAACCTAAAAACCTAGGGTTCAAAAAACCTATACCTGCCAACCCTGAGAAGAACTATTCACAGACATGCTCAATTTTATGTGAGGCTCCTCTAATTAGGAAGTTTTATCCTTAACCCACAACTTCTCTCTACCATAAAAATAAATACTTTGGAGGTCACTTTTCACTAATTAAACAGAATGTTTCTCGAATTTTTATTATTGGTTATGTTTGTTTTGTTGTGCAATTTTGGGACATATTTTTAAAGTCAGCGAGTCGAGTATTTTAACAAAATAATAATTGAGAATTGATCAAAAATAGATGTAGATTTGAGAAAAAAAAAAATAAGTAAAAAAAAGCCCATCAATTTAGGTAATACATAGGATAAATAATAGAAATAGAAGCATACTTACAGACGATAACTGATTTTCACTCCAATCTCCAATAGAAAATGAGCGAATTTATTTTTTTCAATTTTTGTGGACTGATATTCGTGGAAATTCTGATCGTATTATTAAGAATTTTTTAATTTTTGTATTTTTTTGGGAACCTTTTCTATTTATTTTTGTCTACTTTGACATTTATTTGATTTGACCAATGAACTTTGACAGAGTTTCTAGAAAATTCAAGAGGGCGATCGAAATCGCCCTACCTTGCGTTCGGTATTTTGCTCAAAGTGTAGAGCGAGCTGAGCGGAGCCGTAATCACGTGACCAGCGAGCGAACGGAGCAGTTGAACGCTGTATAAGAGTACCGGAAATTTTAATAAACGAACGCGAATGAGGCTGCACCGAGTACACTTTTTAAATAAACGAACGGTAAAGTCAAGCTCGGAGAACTCAGACCAAAATAACGAACGCACGGCTAGTCGTGACACCGAGTGCACACCAGCCATGGAGTGCGTTCGAAGAAGGGTTTAATTTTACCCAAGGGTGAGATTGGATTAAGGAGTGGGTATATGGTCACGTGGTCACAGGAGTAAATTTTTTCTGGTGTGTTTTCGAACGCACTGTGCCCTTATTCTTGAAACAGGGGAGCAGCGTTCCCAGGGAGAACGAGTGTTCTGTCTCCGCTACTTATATTATAATTTGCAGATCATTGAGAAAGACGAAACACTCGTTCTCCTGGGAACGCTACTCCCCGGTTTCAAGAATAAGGACACTGGTGTACAATTATATCCTAACATATATACATAAATATTTAGGCCCAGTGTTTTGTGCATTCCATTTATCTGTTTGTGCTTTGTGCCTATTATCAACAACAACTTTATAATACCCACCCTAAGGGCGGGTATTATAAAACTGCTTTGACAGTTAACTTGTAGTTAACTTTTTGAATTACATGTATTTTCAGAAGTTAACTTTAAGTTTACTCTCAAAGTAGTTTTATAATACCCGCCCTAAATATGAAATTAGTAGATTTAAATAATGAAAAACTGACAAGAATGACAGGAGTAAAATTTACACAGCGGCAGAGTTGGTCAAAAAAGAGTGCACACTGGGTAGCACCCCGGATATTTTCGAACTAGCGTGAAAGTTAACCGGAGTTTATACCAATTTAATTTCGAACGACTGGTGTGCACTCGGTGAGACGCCCAGACTGATTTCGAAGGCACTCATGAATTATTCATAGCTGGTGTGCACTCGGTGTGACGCCCAGGGTGATTTCGAACGCACTCCAAACGAAGGTAAAAAAGAAAACTATACTTGAAGCTCGATTCTGGATTCTGGCCATTGAAGGATTGAACTGAACTAAAGAAAACTTAGAGAAACACTCTGGAACGGGCGTACTGCTTTATGCTATGCTAGTGTGCCGAATTTTGGTATATGCAAAACAGCAATAAAGAGGGATTGTTGTCTCGCTCGCACTTATTGCGATTGACGTAAAAGAAAGAAGAGCTTCTTCATCTTCCTTACCTCAATGATCCAAACACTTCAAACAGTCTCAGTTCTCAATAGCCGCCATAGTGCAGAGAGAGATGCAAATCCCACTGGCCCACTTGTTTGTTGTCCTTCCTGGCACAAACCCTTGCGTAGGGAACTTATGCAGCCACCGTTCCAGTGTGTTTGTTTAGTTCATTGATTCTGGCATTGAACTTTGGTAATGGAATACCAAGGATAATACACACTCCAAGGGGTGCTTATCGGCCTCGTTTTTGGTAATCGCCGCCATATTGGTTTTCAACCATTGCCGACGCCATAACTAAAGCCGCTTTCCAGCTGTGTGCTTGAAGCACGGTGCAGCACAGTGTTCTGTTATTGAAACGCAAAAGTTAGCAAGCTCTCGAAACGCAGTACGGCTGGAACACAAAGGCTAAGTTCCGATATCAACTGCCAGTACTGGATTTATTATGCCGATTTTACTGTCATTTGCCGTTCCGATTTCAACAGCATATACTCTCGTGGTCATTCAGTACTGAATCGACTGAATCCAGTGTACTGAAAATAATATCGGAACGGCGTCCAGTAAATTCAGTACTGACAGTTGATATCGGAACATAAGCAAAAACGCGCTTGAAGCATTTGCGCGCGCAAAAGCTCGATTGATGAGTGCTCAAAAGCGTCAGCTGTCAGCTGGAAAGCGGCTTAAGTCGCCAGCTTCAAACAGCCTACGTCAAGGTGAAGAACGCCAAGCTGCCTACGTCACAACTGGTTGTTTGGAATAGGGGGGTAGGGGGGATTTGTTAGGCACAGGCCTTATGAGGATAGGCCATCCCATGATACTAAAACACAGAAGATATGATCATTTGGTGGACGAAATTTGAACCAGTTCGCGCATGACGTCATCGCGTGACAAAAATGTATGGAGATAATAGAGAAATTAGCTTGTTCGTTATGATTTGACTGGCAAATCAGAATTTCTCGAGATAATAATTCAGATATTCAAAATAAAACACGATCCAGCGTATAGTGTATAATTTATTTTACATAAAATAGCTATTTAGAAAATGTTTTTATCATTGAATTGAATAAATTACAAATATACATAAATATATCAGTTTTGGATACAAATTTCTACTTCTACTTATCATAAATATTAATAACACTTTTTTTACATTTCTTCAAAACAATTCCTGCTGCTTAATAAACATTTGTAATCATAGTCTGGCTGAAGCACGTACAAATTCCAGTCCCCACAGATAGAATTTAACAAAAATGTGAAAAATGTCACAGTTACAAAATATGTTAAAAGCAGACAACTATAATAAATGAAAATTGGAACATCATTACACCACACATGGCTACTACATACTTTTTATGTACTTATATTTTTGACCAAATCCCTTTCATTATTTGTTTTGTCATAGATGTTTCAGCTTTCGGAGATTTAATTTTTGATACTGAAGTCCAGCTTCCGATAGCGTTTTTGCACCCATATATCACAATTATATCTATAACTAGGCATGTTTTTACTTTTTTTTATTATTGTTACTGCTACCTGCTACAATCCACGACCGCACAGTAAACTATGTTTGTGCTATAACTATTATTATTAAAGAAACTCAAACACAAATGAACATAATACAATTTTAACAAGGAGATTTTCACGTAAAAACGGACAAAAATACTAATGAACAGATTAAAACGATTAAAAACGAACAAAAACACGCCAAGACGCCATTAATCGGACCGAATTTGTCACGGGATGACGTCAGCGGAGGGAGAGAGACAGAACATAAACATGCGCGTGATCTTATCTTGTGTGTTCTAGTATCATGAGGCCATCCTGTAGTAGTAGTATGTATCATCCTTGGGTGGTGGTAGGTGCTTTGTTCTGTAAATCTAACCTCAAATTAGAAAGTATGTGTCATGGTCCTGTGAAAAATAAATACGTTCAAATCAAATGGAAAATAATTCTTTACATGTTGTATTGCCATCTCCGATCTGCCACATTTGGAGGAGACATTTTAACGATAGGTTTGGATATGGGAAAAATGTTATTTCTCGATTTAAAGGCTAGGAACTTCTTGGAAAGCAGCCTTATTCCGGATAGGACTGGACTATTAAATTGATGGTTAGCAAAGGATATGTGTTGAGTATGGTTCTGTCTAAATTTTTAAAATTCCAATCAAGTAGGTAGTCTTCATTTTCATGTAAAAGAAGGTTAATCTCTGTAAAAACCATTTGTGTATCTTTCAGTTCCCGAGTTCCCCGATGTAGATTACTTGCGGAACGATGAGGAATCTGAGGTAAAATATGGACATCCTCACAGAATATTACAACTCCACTGTGATGCGGCTCTTTTTGGCCGGAGGACCTAAGTTTTACTGGCAATTATGCAGGATTGTTTGAATAAAAAATTATATTCATTTTATACCTAGGGTACCCAGCTATAATTTTATTTATTTACGACTAATGTATAATATGTATCATACTTGTGAAATCTGTGCTTGTGATTTTGGCAGTATAATGACATATCATTGGCATCATATGAAAATTGCCTAGTCCAATCTTTTTCAAAATTAAGATTTTAGTGGAGTCTTGTGAGATACTCAATAATCTATGATCCAACAAAATATTTGAGCGATAAATTGTTAGACATAGCCATACAACCATGAAAAGAAATTTGCACAAGTTCGTCTTTGGTCTTTGTCTAGAACAGAGTGAAACTTTTGTCTGCCCAGCGGTTGTGAGTCTACGGAAGGAATTCGGACGTAAATGTGCGATGTTGCCACATTTAATTATAAAAAAGCATTAATACTAGGCATGAAGTATAGTTCATGTGAAAATCTATTTTTTAATAACAAAATATAGATAACAATAATGAAACGCTAAAGATTCTAACGTGGTTATTAGATCTATTCTTATTTTAATAACTGATTTCTTCAATTTTGTCTAATATAAAAAATAAACATTTTCCAAAGATACCATCAGCTTTTGTCAATTTGGCAAGCATTCAGCCTGGATGAACCTGATTGGTAGAGTTTTTGGCAGAATCGCCGTTGCCACGGGGAACCATGCGGTTGTCAGTGGGCTAACGTCACCTTACGTCTCCCTATTGGCTAGGGCTTCTGTCATTGTATCCTCCCATCTTGGAATATCGATTTATTGAAATATCCAGTGGCGGGGATTTGGTCATTATCAATTTTCGTGTACGAGTTGCAATACAATATAAACTTCCAAAAAGTTCCGCACGCAGCTGGGTATTTTATGAATGAAATCAGCCATTTTTTTTACAACTGCATTCCCCTTACCGTTGCCCCGTAGACACAGAGTCGCTGGGCAGACATTAAGTCCAGCGATGCAAGGAAAAAAATTTAATCACAAAGTTATTTAATACTCTAATATGCATGAGTTAAAAATATTTTTGAATATACAGGGTGTTCCGTTTATGGGGTATGCGACAAAACTTTGTTCTTTTTTAATGGAACACCCTGTATATAATTGCATATTTGGATTCTACGTAGAATTCTGAGCAGATTTCATGTGATATACCCTTTGAATATAAAACTGCAGGAAGAAGCATATGGCCGACTAGTATTTCCGGTTTGACAGTGGCGTATATTTATTTAAATATGATTGTTAATATTATGACTCACTCTTTTCTCACTAATCCCAGTGCTTATTATCACTTGAAAATGCTAAAATCCATTAAACATCCACTTGAATGAGGACACAGCGAACCACCAGAACAAATGATGAGTCCATACTTGGAGGCTCAATATGGCCGTTTCCGTCCCTGCGTTGTCTGTAGTGACAGATAGAAAACGCTCCTTCCTGTATTTTTATATTCAAAGGATATACCCTATACCCAATGAACTATAACCAAAAACTGGAATGCTAACACATAAGGACGAACTTGAAGCCTAGTGCGGCTGCTGCGGAGGGGATACCTGTTTTTGTCGCACTCATTATGTTAAATGGCGAAAATTGCTTCCAACACGTATTCCAATTGATGAAACCTGTGAAGGGAAATATGACAAAACTTTCGAAAACGTCATATGTCAGCAAGCAACAGAAAAAAACAACATTCCCCTTTGTGGCATCTATCTTTCATGGCTACATTTTTTTGGCAGATATGGCAATGTGTGCGCATTCCAGTTTTTAGCTATAGTTCATTGCCTATACCTAAGTTCAACTGTTTTGGAAATATTGACAGTTGAAAATTGACTACTTTTTGCAACTTTGACAGGCTGTAAAACCTAAACGGTATTAATTTTAGAGGAAAACCGATTTCACATTCCTATCTTAGATTTTTATAACTATCATTTGACACCAACTTTGAATTTAACCGGAGATTAAGTTTAACTGGAATTTTCAATCATATGGATTAAATTCAAAGTTGGTGTTAAATGATAGGTTATAAAAATCTAAGACAGGAATGCAAAATCGGTTTTCGTCTAAAGTTAATCGTTTAGGTTTTACAGCCTGTCAATGTCCCAGATAACACAATGTGCGTCAATGTGCTCGAAAAGTTCCGGCCGACTTTGGAGAAAATAGTATTTCAATGGTAATGCTTTGGAAATATGCTAAAAGTGCGTATAATAAAACAAACCAAATCAAAATAAGCTAGCAGCATCGAAGAAATGGTCCTATTTCAACTTTTAAATTGAATGATCTGTAATGTGCAGGAGAACCACTGCAAAACCGCATAATTTTAGTGTGCGAATTAGCGGTACGCTAACAGCACTTCCTGAACACTTACCAAGGTACCGAAAGAATAGAGTCTGCTCTGAGTGCTCTACCTGCGCTGCCTGAGAGCCTGCAGTCGGCAGTGATTGATTATAGGTTTAGAGATACTCCGATCGTGCAGGTGGTGCACCACAGAGGTGCAACCCCCACCACACATATCAAATGTGGGAAGGAAAGGGATAAAAAAGCGACAAGAAGGCAAGCAGAAGCAAGGAAGCCTGAGCCGAAGCTGCCGGCTGCCGCCATTGCGCCATTTTTAATGTTTGCATTTTTGGGCATTTAGTTTCGTACGTGTTTGGGTTCTGTGCGTGTTTTCGGTTTCACTGGAAGAATAATGAGTTCCAAAGGGTAAGTGAGTGATGATTATCAAATATTAGTTATGGGTTAATCCAAATTATTTCGTTCTGCGCTGTATGTGGTGCTTGTAGGTGGTAATGCATGCGTGGTGGGTGTGTTTGTGTTTTCACTGTTTATTTAACGAAACTCTGCAAAATCGTATCAATTTTTTTAGGGCCTATACGACAAGAATTTATTGCAAAATAAGTTCACTTTATTAGATGAACGTTTCTCCCTTTAGGTAGGTACCCGACGAAGCTGCCAAATTTGAAATCTGTCATTTCAAATTTTCCATCCCCAAAACGACTCCGATATGTATGAATTAATAAGTCTTTAATTGGGCATCTTATTTTCTCATTTGAGCCACGTACCCCCTGTACTTTAATAGTTTCCAAAAACCCCATTAAACTCATTTTATTTGGTGCCCTCTGTGTCTCGTATAGGAGATTTTAATTTAAGTATGATTTCTTTTTCAGGTAGGTACCAGGAAAAGCGAAGAAGAATTATTTAGAAGAAATGAATATGTTTTATTTTATTTTTTATTTATGTTTCCTATGTTTATTTATTAAAAGATCATAATTTCAAAATGTTTGTTTTTTATTTGCAATGGGCTATCAGTGAAATAAAAAATGTACTCAAAAAATACTTCAATGAAGTACTTTAAGAGTACAATATAAATTTACCAAAAAAAGATGTTCTAGTGGTGCTTTTTCTCTGTCGGAGAAGTGCTTTTATGTAGCATTTCACGAATACTTCCAACGTACGCTTGGAGCACTTAGAGCACTCCATGTTGGAAGTGCGCAATTGCAGTGCTTCTACGATTGCGCCTTTTTTTTACTGGCCGGCTGGACATCCCAGAAGCGGCTGAGTGGTTTTCACAAGTATTGCTCAGGCACGCAAATGTGAAAATACAGTACAATTGAAGTACTTTTCATGTAGTTTTGTGTTATCTGGGGTTGCAAAAGTCAATTTTCAACTGTCAATATTTCCAAGGTATAGGGTATATCACATGAAATCTGCTCAGAATTTTACATACCGTGCGTTCGGTATTTTGCTCAAAGAGCAGAGCGTGCTGAGCGGAGCCGTAATCACGTGACCAGTGAGCGAACAGAGCAGTTGAACGCTGTATAAAAGTGCCAGAAATTTTAATAAACGAACGCAAATGAGGCTGCACCGAGTACACTTTTTAAATAAACGAACGGTAAAGTCAAGCTCGGAGAACTCGGACCAAAATAACGAACGCACGGATAGAATCCAAATATGCAAACACATACAGGGTGTTCCATTTAAAAAAAAAAACAATGTTCTGTATATATAAAAATATTTGAACGAAAATTAAGAAAAATGTCGTAGTGTATTATATCGCTAGATTCGCTTCAAAATACTGCATTTAGTGAAAGTGATATGTTCCTATTCTAGTTTTTGAGCTAGGGCAAAGATACTAAAATTAGGTATGAAGTTTACAGCCCTGCTCTATCAAAAAAATTTACAAAGATAAAATTCAGTTTGTATTTTTCTGAAATTAAGTAAAGTATGTAGAGTCATTTTAGGATGATCATGGCACTCTGGTTAAAAAATTAAAATTTATTTTAAAAACAAAATTTGGACAAAACTTGATGCAAAAGTGGTGCATTAGGACGTAAAACGATCTGTAGAATCCGAAAAACAGAAAATCTACAGGGTGTTCCATTTAAAAATAAAAAGTTCCGGTCAACAAAACTTCTTAATAATGCATAAAAATGGCGTTTGGTTAGAATATCAACCCTACCAAGTTTCGTTGATATCGATAGATAAATAAAAAAAAAGGCAGCCGGAAAGTGATCTTGTGGGCACCCGGTATATGTAAGTAATATTAAATTAGTCGATTCTGTGACCTGAAAGAAAAAATCTAAATTATTGTTAATCAGGTCCTGTCTCGTATCCCAAAATGGCCGCTAGTGACATCCCGACCATGAATTCCATTACACGGGCTGTCACTCGAGTTAGCCTGCTGATTGTTTTTGGTGTGATAGCATTTTCATGTCATAACGAAGTCGTACTGCTACTGATCAAACAGCCTACGTCAAGGCGAGAAATAATATGCTGCTTACGTCACAACTGGTATTTTGGCGCGGGGGGGATTTGTTACACATAGGCCTAATGAGGATAGGCCATGCTGTACTGTACCTTTTTTCCAGCAAAACCAAAACGCTGTTGAAATCGGAACGGTAAATGACAGTAAAATTAATCAGCACAGTCAAGCTACATCCTCAATCAATCCTGGTAGCGAAGTGGCACTTCGGCTTCGGCACGCGTGCTGGGAATTTGATACCCATCCTCAATGCTAAATTGTATTTTATTATTATTTACCGTACTGCGCATGACACAAGTTGACACGCATTGAGAAAGCTTGTAAGCTAGCACTTAGCACTTCAGTCGACGTGCATGCTAGCACGGAATTGAATTGAGGATGCCAACGTTAACTAACATTGGACTAGCATGTGTGCACAAGTGCTACTTCGCTACCAGATTGGCTGAATTCGGCTTTGCACTCCACGGAGCGAAACGGTATAAGCATGGATATCGTGACGTCATACGCAGAGTGCCCCTGATCGAGGTCCATAATAAGCCGAATGAGGATCGAAAAAAAATCCTGAAACCTTTGTCACAGTTGTAACTCATCTCAAAAAAATTCTTTTGTGACCAAATTAAAGTAGAAGAGAAATCTCGGAAAAAAAAACCGGAAACACAAACAAAATTAATTTTTTTTAACAATATTTTAGGTCATAATTTCTCAAAAGTGACAGTTGATAACTATATTAGTTATAACCGAATTTTCGCGACGAACTAACTTCCTACTTCCATGATTTCATGAACACAGATTCTTTCGCGAGAAACTCATGACGTCATATTGAACGTAATTCGCCGGCGAAGCATGGACGCAACTTCTAGCCAGCGTTCAAACTCATGACGTCACAAGACGAACTATGGTTTGTCTTTGGGTGAACTGCATTCGTCGCAAAAATTCGCATTATTATTTCTCTGTTTCTCCATCCATCCATCCAGGGAAAAGCAAGCGACCTCAGGTACGGGCTCGATTATAACCCGAACGCAAAAGAGAACACTCCGAGTGCTAAAACGAACAGGATCTTATCGTTTCGAGTGCGCTCAGAGTTTACAGACAGTGCGTTCGGTATTATGATCTGAGTTCTCCGAGCTTGAATTTACCGTTCGTGCTCGGTGCAGGCTCATTCACATTTGTTTATTTAAATGTCTCTGATAACTGCGTGTATTTGCTCTTTGCGCTCAGTGGTCACGTGACTACTGCACCGCTCAGGGGCGTCGCGTCGGGGGCGGGGGGGGGTACTGGGGGTAATTACTCCCCCCCAGGATCGAATTATCAAGAGAAAAATCACGATGCCAAAAAGAAAATACATAATATATTGAAGAAAAAACATTTTTGTTTTGTTTTATGTTTTTCACAAATGAAATAATTGTTCTGGAAAAGTGAATGACCTTCAAATTTGCGAAAAAATTCGCCTGCGGCGCGTTTCTCGAAGGCGCCCCCCGTACCATTTACCCCACCAGACTACTGGTCACGCGTCGCCACTGGCACCGCTTCAGCACGCTCTGCTCATTGAGCAAAATACCGAACGCAAACCTCCAACGCGTCAAAAATAAAGGACTGCAGCCACGTAACACGTTACATTCAGTGAAAGTTTTCGCATTGAGGCGGTTACAGACGGACGTGGATGTCTGAAACCATGTACGCACATACATGAACGCGCGAACAAAAACATCAATGTGTATGCAAAATACCGTCGCGTTTTTGAATGTGGAATCGCTAGAAATTTTGTATGCACACTCGGATTACTGTAGCAAGAATAGCAAGACTGCAGTTTTGTGCGAGCGTCTGTACAAACGCGACATGCACGTTGTTGTTTGCACTTTGCACGTTGATGTATGCACGTATATGTATCAAGCCATCCACGTCCGTGTGTAACCGCCTTTGGGCAGATTATTTGTTAATTTACTCAAAACTGTCAACTGAACATCAGTGCAACAATTGCGATTGGTTGGGCTTCTGCTTATGCAGTTATGAATTACTTGAATTGAATTAGGCATATGAAGAATGTACAATCAACGGTACAATGTAGAATCAGAACCGTGTATGACTGCCTTTATGTTACAATCCATTACAATACTTTTTTTTTGGAATTTATTCTGAATTTAATTTTTTTTTGCTGACGACTACAACAAAGAAATTGGATTTCGAAAGTAATATAAATATAAAAAAATATAAATTAGTTTACCCCATTCAGATTAGATAACTCTGAAGATTAAATGCCTTGTTATGATCACAATGATCGTAACATGACATAACCTTCTACTAATTTTATTTTAATTTAGGTATTTATCATTTCACTTTTACCCCTCTGTTTGCACCATTGCACCTAATAGCAATAGTTTAACAAGAATAAATTAAATATTCACTAACGAAAATTGTTGACTACAGTATTAGATCCTATAACATTGTGTTCCTGATAAATCAAGATTTTCAATATCAAACAAGAATTAAGACTGAAGAAGGCAGGATGAGTGGCGATACAAGTGATTTGAAAATTTTTGTAGGCTCAAGAAAAAGTGAGGTAAATATCGTATTTTATGTATTTGACTAAATAATTTTTCATTAAAAATAAATATATACTTTGATTCTAGCTTGCTGTAATTCAAACCAAACATGTAATATCTTTATTGAAGCAAGCCCATCCTGAAATAGAATTTGAAATTGGTAAGTTATCTACAACGTTACACAACATATGGATGCAAATATTATGTATACTTATTTGCATTCATTGCTATTTGTTCTACGAATTTCTCTAGAAAGTAAGTAAGGTATTGAGAAAAAAATTAAGGGCCAATAAAACACAAAATAGTATTTTCAAGAAATTCAAGTCCCTTAATTGACTGGATGATAAGAATCGTTTTTTCCAATGACAACAATTTATGGACAAAATCATCAATACAAAAAAATATGATAAGGTAGATACTTAATGAACTCTGAGAAAAAAAAAGAATATTACCCTTTTGTTCCCTGGCCTCATACAAATAAAAAAAAGTCTCAAAAAAAGCTTTATTATCAGAAACACATTAAAATAATGTTTATAAATGTTGATAGAAGGGAGTATCAAACAAAAACAATACAGAACTATAATCCTCAATACCTAGTGTTCCCCATCTAGCTCGTATCACTCAATGCATCCTCCTGGATAGGCTTCTGAATAGGTTTTGGATGTACTGTTGCTACAAGTTATTCCAAATCTTGTGAAGATGATTTTTGAAGGTCTTGTTAGTCTCTAAACACAATTTGCTGTATCGTCCATCCCATATGAATCCGCACATGCTCTACTGGATTTAGATCTGGGCTTCAAGCTGGTCAATCAAGAACATCAATATTAGCTTATTGTCGCGGTGTTTATTTTCTTAATTATGGCAACGCTGGTGGAAAGCTTAAATATAAGATCCAATGAATTTTTATAGCATAGGATTTATTCTAGTGACCATGACAACACTAGGAGATCAAATCTTAGACGTACCATTACCAAAGATAGGAGAAAAATCATTATTTACAAAAGAATTGGAAACTGCCCTTGCCACAGGTCATGTGGACTTCATTGTTCACTCTCTCAAAGACTTGCCCACCAGTTTACCTGATGGTATGGCCATTGGAGCTGTGCTTAGTAGGTAGGTGGGTAAACATTCAAATATTTTCTTGTCTTAAAATTCGGCATACTCAATAAACATTTTTCATCAGAGAAAATCCTCGCGATGCTTTAGTCCTTCAAAAAGACATTAAAAAACATACTCTCTCAACTCTACCTAAAGGCAGTGTTATTGGCACATCAAGTTTAAGAAGAACGGCGCAACTGGCAAAGAAATTTCCCCATTTAAAAGTGGAAAACATTAGAGGCAATTTGAATACTAGATTGAAAAAATTAGACGATTTGGGCAAATATCAAGCAATTATATTGGCAGCAGCTGGTTTGATACGGATTGGGTGGCGAAATAGAATATCTAAGGTAAAATATGTGTACAATAAAAGTAGAAAATTTATGTGACTCATATCAAACTTTTCTTAGAACAGTTTAGTACTGGTAAAAATGTAATATGTGTTTTTTTTCTCTTAGTTCCTTGATGTAAACGAATTCCTATATGCAGTGGGCCAAGGAGCGATAGCTGTAGAATGTCGAGCAAATGATGAGAGAATCATAAAACTTCTGGAACCTTTGTATGACCTCCAAACTGCTTTGAGAGTGATTGCAGAACGAAGTTTCTTGAAGACTTTAGGCGGAGGCTGTAGTGCTCCTGTAGCTGTGATTTCAGATGTGAAACTTGTCAAAGAAAAGGAGGTAAAACTCAATTATTATTATTCTATTATTTTGTGATTATTTTAGTTTGTTTGTTTATTAGGTAGAAGTAATTCTAAAGGGCGCTGTGTGGTCTTTGGATGGTAAAGACGAAATTATTGATGAGGAAATGACCATTTTGGAGGTGTTGAATAATATAAGATGCGCTGAATGTCCTTATAGTACTAATGGTGTGGTAGCTGTAGAAGATATAGGTAATGAATGAGAATGATAATTTATTGTATGCATCTTGAAGGTATAATTTTCTTTTAGAATGTTGTGGAGTATGTCCCATGAATGGTCCAAGTGAAAGTAATCCCAAAAAGAAGAAGCTTGATATTCCTAGTGAAATTTTGGAAAACGATCCGCATGAAAAATGTCCTGTGCCAATGCCAATTGGTTCAGATTTCATGGGACAATGTCCTTATTTGGAAGGTGATTTACAGGTAATTTTTTCGTAATAATTACATTATATTCCATTACTATCAATATTTCGATCTGTATATTGGTTGCAGAGCAAATTTTTTTTTTTATTTATTTATTTATTTATTTTTATTTATTCATTTATTTACGTATAAGAAAAATACATTTGAAGTTGAACAGAGTTTAAATCTAAATAAAAAAAAAAAAAATCTAACCTAAAACAATTCTCCTGGCCTTCGTCTTAAATTTATCCAGAGATAAACCAAAGAACTCAAGGCCCTCACAGAACTTATTTACATTGGCAGATATTCTATTCACAGGACTGAATAGTAGGTACCAGGTTCGACAGTAAGGAATGTGCAGTAAAGATTTACTTCGTGTCTGATAACTTTGAATGTGTAGATTAAAACATTCAAGACATTCGTGGCTTTTTATGTAGTAGTTAAGAATTTTAAATGCAAAACAGACATCAAAATATTCCCTTCTGCGAACAAGAGTAGATAAGTCTAAATAAGTCATAGTCAGGTCCTCACTGAGAATTACACCACTCAAAGAAAGTTTGTACCTTGCAATATATTTTATAATTATTTATTAGGATATCCATGGGAAACTTCCAATAAATGGACCAATAGAAGCGCTTAAAGATGGTGCCAATATGTGTCCGTTTTTGAAAATACAAAAAGCAGGTAATAATAACAGTTATATTTTTTTTAACAAAAAAAATAAAATTATTTTTTAGTTATAAATTCAGCAGAGGCACGGGAATCAACCACTAACCCTCTTCAAAAGACTGATGAAGACGAAGCTAATTTGTTTGTTGGTTTAGTTCCTCATAAGGGCATCACTGAGGAAAATATGGAAAAAGCAAGATTTTTAGGGAAAAGATTGGCCCAAAAGTTGGCTGATAAAGGAGCCCTTGAAGTAATGGCTAAAGCTCAAGCGATTGTACATGGACAAGTTACAAAGGGAGCGGTTGGCACTAGTTGAAGGGTAGTTTGGAAATTAGATAAATGGGTATTCCCTAGTATTGGTGCTAGTGGAAAATATTTTAAGCTTATGGGAGTTTATTATGTTTAAGTGAATATTTCGTTTTAAATATTTATTAATTATAATCAATTTGATAGTTTTTATAGAAGCATGGAAATTGACTGGGAAATTAAATTTAAGGTAGATGTTGAGATGTTGATTTTTTCAGGTCTAGCAAATCTTTATATTACTTGATATTTGATTATACATTTTTTCATGACATTATTTTAAATTTGAGCAATATTTGCAGTTATATTTATTATTGTTGAAAAATATGAGAAGGTACCAAATTTTACTTTCTACAGTATTTTTATGTTTTTTTTTTTGTATGGTTTAAAGTTGATTATGTATTTAAAAGATCCTTTTTATTAAGTAGGTACCTACTGGACTTTTTTTTCTTTTTAATGTTGGCTCTTATGGTTATGGTACCTAATTGTATGTGTATTTTATTTACAAAATGTGATGTTTTTCAATAAATTTATTGGTTGTTGACACAAACGAAGTTTTTTGTATTTTACTTATGTATATTATATTACAAAGGCGGGCACAGACATGCGGTATTCGGCGAGTCTCGAATCACAAATATTCGCTATTTGGCAAGTAGCGATTAGCCCGGTATTCATAGACGGGTGCTTGGCTCAAGCTCCGATTTTTGACAGTTGTGAGCATCGTTCCGTGCTGTTTGGAAACGCAAATATGGGCTATGGCGTCAAGTCGAACTTGAGCCAAGACACAACCTTGAGCATCGACTATGAATACGGGCCTATTTTTATATAATAAATAATAGTGTTTGAGTTCCTCGGGCAAATATTCGCTATACTTACTTAATTGCCCGAGCAACCCATACATACAAATCGCTACTTGTCGAACAGCAAATATTTGTGATTCGGCAAGTAGCGATTAGTGTGTATGGGTTGCTCGGGCAAAAAATATTCGCTATATCATGCCCGAGCAACCCATACACACTAATCGCTACTTGCCGAATAGCAAATATTTGTGATTCGAGACTCGCCGAATACCGCATATGTCTGTGCCAGCCTGTGCCATTCCTGATGATAGGTGCGAATGTGCTGGAAAGGCAATGGTGGAATGATTAGCGAGAATCAAGGTTCCTAAAGTTAATAGGTTGTCTGGTAATGGGAAACAGATAAGGTCATCTGGGGCCTGGGGTCCCTTATAAAGATTTGCATTTTGTTTAGCCACCCCAGATGAGGTCATAGAAGTTATCAGGCAACCTATCTCGTTCAAACTTTTGAGCCCTTGAGCGAGTATAACTTTTATGGCGTCATCTGGGGTGCCTGAACCTAATGCAAATCTCCATTAGCCACCCCAGATGACGTCATCTGTATCCCATTACCAGGCCAAGGGTTCTAAAGCTAATAGGTTGTCTGGTAATGGGTAACTTGACGACGCATCTGGGGTGCCTTATAGAGATTTGCATTATGTTGCGTTGCGGGTTGCGGCCAATGATTGCGGCACCCCAGATGACGTCATAAAGTTATGGCAACCTTCCTCTCCCTTCTCTCAAACAACCTTATCTTAGGTTTGTTTGTATGTGTCGCACTAAGCGCAAAATATTTCGGGTTTGTGGCGTCACCAGTTCAACTAATTATTGCTTTAGAACAATAAATATTCTGACACAAACGAACGGAGTTTTTTATTACATGATTCTTAATTTGAAAGGAAGATTATTATTATTTATATTCCGAAATCGAATTTGTTTTATCAAGTGGTGAAAATAGTGGAGAGTACTGTGACGTTGCAGACAGCCACTTTTTTACAAGGATGACACACTACTACTACTACTACAGGATGGCCTATCCTCATAAGGCCTTGTATAAATAGATATGTTGAATTTGATATTCAGTTCTAGGAGCAGCATGGCGGTGGTGGCGAGACTCAGTCTTGGGCCGTTTTCTCGCGTCCACTTTTTTGACATTGGTTCAAAACAGTTTTGAAACGGGCAATGGTGTTCTATTGCCCGTTTCGAACCTGTTTTGAAAAAAGTGGACGCGAGAAAACAGGCTCTGGACTCGGAATATCCTTGAGACTCGGTGGGACTAAGGGCGGGTATTATAAAACTATTTCGACAGATAACTTAAAAGTTAACCTCTGGAATGACGTTACTTTCCATAAGTAATTCAAGAGCCTCTTCCCAGTGACGCACTTTAAGCACAGCTACTCTAGAGCGCCTCGGGCTGTTTATAGGCGTTCCGGTGCATTAGGGTTTCGCGCAACTGAACTGTTCGTTCGCCTCTTCCTCTCCCTCTCAAGCACCAGCATTTTTATGTTGCATCATCATCGCTTTAAAGTAGAGTGCGTTCCAGTGAAACAACAGTTGTTTGGAGCACCAGAGTGTGAAGCTACAGGTGTGGAGCACCTCAAAATTCGTCACTGGAAAGCGGCTCTGGGTTGCGTTTAAAATAGCACTCTGGGTGTGAGAGTGACCCTAGCGGAACTTAAACCATTCATAAATTAACAGGTGCTTACTCGGAGTGTTACGCTGGAATCGTTCAGAAATCGGGAGTTGACGTGCCCAGAGTGCATCCAAATTACTCCGATCAGGGACTGGGTTGAAAAACGCTCCGCGGTTTGTACCGGGTTTGCCCCAATACGTTCAGAAATAGCGCACCCAGAGTGCACTTCAAGTGATGACGTCAGAACACCCTGACCAAAAACTACTCTATCTTCACACTCCATTTCGAAACGCACTCCAAAGTTATCTTTTTGTTATCTGTCAAAAGAGTTTTATAATACCCGCCCTAAGTTGTATTCCTTTCAAGGGTTTAGAGCACTACAGCTATTTGCTCCGGTGCTAGTCGACCCTGATTTGAAAGGAATAGATACGCTGGTTTCCGTACATTAATAGTTGTATTCCTTTCAAGAGTTTGAAACACTCGAGCTACTCGCTTCGGTGCTCAGTTGCCCCCGATTTACAGGGAACAGATGCGTGGTGCAACAAACACTTTTCGAAAGGAATAAGTGCGTGAAGCCCCGGAGCTGTTCCGGAGCTCCTCCTAGGTGTGAAAGGAATACAACTATTGAAAATGGTTTGAATTCCGGCTTGAGCACTTCGTGCAAGTTTATTGGGTGTAACAAGAGGTGCTTTGCGTTCCAGTACTTAGAGTGTCGTACACTTGAACTACTCATTTCTGTTATCCCCTGCCCCCTCGCGCAACAAACATTATTTCGGCGTTCCTTGCTCCTGAAGTCCGAAATAGTGGGGGTTAAGACGAGTGCGTTCCAGTGCTGCTTATGTCGAACAGTTCAAGAGCGTCACACTCCAGGAGCATGATACTCTAACAACTTAGGCACTGGAAAGCAACTAAAGGCTGAGTTCGGATTTGCACTCCACGGAGCGGAAGGGTATGAGCATGGATATCGTGACGTCATACGTGGTCATAAGCCCAACGCGAAAGAGAACACCCTGAGAGCTAAACGAACAGGATCTTATTGTTTCGCTCCGGAACAGCTCCTCTTAGGTGTGAAAAGAATGACGACAACTAATATATCTAACCTCACTTCTATCTATCACAATTTTAGTTTGTTTTTATTTTTATTTAGTTGATTTTGTAAGGCTTAACTTTTTACTAATTTTTAGGAATATTTCTGGAAAAAATACCTTAAATTTTGATTTATTGATTGAGGAGGAAATAGGTATCCTTTTTTAAGCATGAAATCTTAAGAAAAACCTGCAATTTGTTTAGCAAAATAAGGAAATACATCCATGTGTTTATGAGATCTGCAGTTTAGAAATCATGGTTTTTCTTAATAACTTATCCAGACACTCTGAATGGCGTAAACTTGCGAAAAAATTGAGAAGGAAACGTATTCGTCAAGCGAAGGCCCTAGAACGAGACCAAAGATTATTAGTCGGTAGGTTGCACAATCGGTTGCCTTTGGTTGCACTAGGTACTTGGCACTTGTAGTAGGTGTAGTCGTAAAGAAATTTACCAAGCCTAACTACCTACGCTTTTACGCAAAATTTAGTATCAGTGATTCACCACTTAACTTTTTTACTTATTGTCTGAAGAACATAATAACATTTTCATTGACAAAGCTTGTGTCGAGGCTTGTGTTATGAAAATGTATTATAATATTTGAAACTATACCTACCTACTCAAACCTAAATTACTTGCTAAATTATCACTCTGATTTGTTCTTTTCCTCTGTGCATAAGCAGATATAAGCCCTTGGCTTACTGCAAAAATTGCAAAAAAAGTCTAGCAATCATGTTAAAGATGTTTATATACAGGGTGTCCCAGCCAAGACTGCCAATAGTGACCCATTTCAAATGCTCATAACTATAGCTTATAACTTTTAAACCAGGTGTGTTAGCTACCTGCGGTTTGCCCCATTCAACTTCTCTTGACCTTAAGTTTTCTTTAGTTAGCTGCAAATTTATCTGCTACTTATATGGGGCCAGTAAAAAAAAATGCTGTTTTTCAACATCAAAATTCTCCAGTATTCTCAATGGAAACTATACACCCACTTGAGGTTTTGAATATTTTCATATCATTAGTCCTCGCATTAGTCTTTTTAACCTTACAGATGCATCAAATGGTAATATACTACAATATGATTTATTCTCGGATTTATTATACTTAACCATTATTCCGAACAAATAATCTGCTGGTATCGATAAAAGTCAAATTTTTCTCTTAGAGCACATTGCTCATTTGCATATTAAGTAGATTCCTCTTTTTCCAGAACAACTGAGAATTGCTAGGGTAGTGCCTGTTCATGAGAGGGGTGATGTGCACATGATCCTTCAAATTGCAGGCCAATGTCGCTTCTTTCATCTGTGTCGAAAGTTTTTGAAAGAGTCACAACCGACTACTGGAAATTGTCATCCAGTGTGGGATTCGAGGTGGGATTCTTGGCATCACTTTGGTTTTCTCCCAGGGAAATCTACTGAAATGGCAATTTCAGACAGTGACCGTCTCGGTAACCGCTACTATCGGAAGCCTTGAATGTTATAAAATTGCTGGCCGTTATTTTGATCTCTCCAAGGATTATGATATGATTGACCACAGGCTCTTGTTGTGGAAAATCAAGGGGTATAGGGTGAGAGGCATGGTGGCCAGGCTGTGTGGGATGTATTTGGAAAACAGGTGTCAGACTGTGTCAATCCTTCATGATGGGCAGAAACTTTACGGAGAGTCTGTTGATAGAGAGAGGCATCCCACAGGGCTCCATAATGTGGCCATTGCTCTTCTTACTGTATGTAAATGACCTGCCTGGCTTGGCGGATGGGGGTCTTGTCTGTCAATATGCTGATGATATATCAGTCATGCTGTCAGGTACGATGGGTCAGATGGCTATCTGGTGCAGTAAAAATCGCCTTCAGCTAAATACTGGCAAGGAAGGGCTTGTGATATTCAACAAAAGCAGGGTGAATGCTGATTCTTTGTATGTTAACTATATTCATAAATCCATTCCAAACGTAACTTCTCTGAAGTTTCTTGGCATCCACATTGATTCTACTTTGAGTTGGAAGCAGCACATTACAAGCCTTCAATGCAGACTGAATAGCGCATGTGTCTTGATGCGTAGACTTTGAGACAGCATGTCTTTTGACTGCATCACACTTTTCTAGTTTGCTTATTGTCATGGCTTTGGCTTGCCTGATAGAAATCTTGGGTTCGTTTCGTTTATTCTAAAAATCAAAGTCCAATTAACACAGCAATAATTTATTCCACATAACAATACACTCTGGGCACTAATTACTTTAACAACTAACTCAACAATTAAACTCTTTACAACAATAATCACTATTTAAATCGTATCCCAGTCAAACTGAAACTTGAAAAACTACAAAGCATTAGATGTATGCTACATCTTCACCCCTGAATTTCTTGTAGGCCTTTTTTCGAGGGCTTGAATATACTTACTGTGCCTGGATTGTATTTGGTTGCACTGGTCACTTTTGTCAAAGAAACTCGACATCCTCTTGCAACAAATCCAGATGGCTATGCCAATAACAAAGACATAATTTTTCTTTTAGAGGAGATCAGAAGAATATATTATGTAGCTTAATTATAATTTATTTGTAGATGTCACACATTCCATTTCCACTGCTAGTTTTTTAGTTATGAAATAGGTACTAAGCAAAAAAAATCTACAGACCTGCTGCCTGCTGCTAGTAACACTTTCAAACTTACAGGGGAGCAAGAGGTCTGGTCTAATAAAGCTAGACTTTAGGAAATAACATTCACTACAGTTTTTCGGGAAATTCTAATGTTCAAGATAGAGGCAAAACCGAGGGCAAAACTGAGAAATTGAAGAACGTTTTCTGGGAAAAAATTTTATGTCCTAAAATCTAGCTTAATTGGACCTTTTTCTACTTTACAAGTTTTAAAGTGTTACTATGTGACAAATCTGGACATTCAAGATATTAGCCAAACTGAGAACTTGAAAGACCCTTTCCAGGTAAATTTTTTGCATCTTAAAGTTTGACAATATTTATTAAACCTCTTTAATTTCTGCTGCAAGTTTACACTTGTTACTATAAGTCGTTTTTGAGGAATCCAGACTTTTGAGGATAGTAGCCAGAACTGCCCTGCAAGTTCAAAAGTATGTGTATTTTTTGAATAAAATTATACTCAAATATACCTACTTACTTGGTGAAATGCATAGTTAGTAGCGAAAATAATTGGAAAGTTAAAAACTGGGGAAAAAAACAGGAAAATGTGTTAATTTTATTTGATTAAATTTGGCATCCGACAATACATAAGTAAATTTGGTGGGTTTCTGTGGAAGTTAATTAATAAATAATATCCCAATTAGAACTTCAAAACCATATGATTGAAACAGACATTTAAATTTAAATATTTTTTATCTACAAGCGTGCGGTAACTAATGTATATTACACGATTTTACGTGCAGTAAGTACCATATTACCGCACGCTCTACCTACATAAGTACGTACCTTTATTTACCTACCAGAGATAAATTACCTACCTATCACCTAAATTCTATTTATCCACTGTCAAAGGTGACAGACGCAATTTTATTTTCTATAATTTTTTAAACTTCTTTCCGATATTTTGTTACCGCACGCTTGTAGATAATAGTATATTATGATATAAGTGTATAAGAGGGCATTTAAAGCACGCGCGACATATTTCAAAACACGACGCGCAGCGGAGTGTTTTTTAAGTCGCAAGGGCTTTAAATGCCATCTTATACACGCATATCATACGCTATTTTTTATTACGAATGCATCATAATCTCAAAAACGTTTTTGAAGTGTTCATTCATTTTGATAAGTAGTAATTTAAATGGCAGGTATGCGGTAAATATCTAGGTAATGAAGGTAGATCGAACGTTTATATAGCAAACCTTTGAAAAGGTAGACGCATCATAAACATTATTTGTGCGATAATCGTTGATTATGATGCATGCGTAATAAAAAATACTATATATAATACGTATGGTAATTAGGTTATTACCGCCCTTAGAGATTGCAAACCTCGCCTCACCGGCTCGGTTTGCAAATTTCTCTCGCGTGCGGTAATAACCTAGTTACCACACTTACTATATAATATACTATTAAGCCTTTTTGTGAATAATTGTAAGTTAGGTACATTTTTAATATTAGGTAAATCGTTGAACGTCTTAGATGTGAATCCTAACAAATGATTCAATCCTATCGAGAATCCTATATTAATTTTGCCATGACATATACAGGGTGTCCCACGGTGGATGGCGTATTAGACGTTTATGGAGAACTAAAAAGCGGATCATTTTGAAAATTTGGCAACCGGGATAAACAACCGTGATCTACACTTTAAAAATATTTTTGAGCATGCGGTGTTGCCGCTTCTACTCTCAACTAGTGGCAACATCACTATTTTAAATGGAACACCCCGTATTAAATTGCACATTTGGATTCTACATAAAATTCTGAGCAGATTTCATGTGATATACCCTATACCTAAGTTCAACTGTTTTGGAAATATTGACTGTTGAAAATAGACTTTTTGCAACTTTGACAGGCTGTAGAACCTGAACGGTTAATTTTAGAGGAAAACCGATTTTACATTCCTATCTTAGATTTTTATAAACTATCATTTGACACCATCTTTGAATTAAATCCATGATTAAAAATTTCAGTTAAATTTAATCTCCGGTTAAGTTCAAAGTTGGTGTCAAATGATAGTTTATCAAAATCTAAGATAGGAATGTGAAATCGGTTTTCCTCTAAAATTAACCAATTAGGTTTTACAGTCTGTCGAAGTTGCAAAAAGTCAATTTTCAACTGTCAATATTTCCAAAACAGTTGAACTTAGGTATAGGGTATATCACATGAAATCTGCTCAGAATTTTACGTAGAATCCAAATATGCAATTTAATACGGGATGTTCCATTTAAAATAGTGATGTTGCCACTAGTTTAGAGTTGAAGCGGTAACACCGCATGGTCAAAAATATTTTTAAAGTGTAGATCATGGTCGTTTATCCCGGTTGCCAAATTTTCAAAATGATCCGCTTTTTAGTTCTCCATAAACGTCTAATATGCCATCCACCGTGGGACACCCTGTATAAACGAGTATATAAATAATAAATATGTAGTTTGTCCTGATTGTGACAGTGTTGTAATTGTGTATTTCATTTGAAAATACTATTGTAGAGTTGCATTTTTGCTGATTAATAATTATTTTTAACATTAGTTTACATTGTTCTGATATTAGGACCTTTCCCACCTTACAATTCTGTATGTGTTAGAAAGTCATAATCAAAGAGGAGTTTTGAATTTCATTTTGCATGTTGTATTATTTTTAAAGAAGTATCAGTACATAAGTATACCCCAGATTGGTATAAGAGACTTGGTATAAGGTATCTCAACTGCGTTGAAAAAAAGCTGCGTTATATACAGGGTATTTGGTACATCGATAGGAAAATTTCAACGAGTGATAGTTGGGGTCATTTGGAAGCTGTTTGACCATATTTAGTTACTCTCATAAAATGTTTCGCCGTTTTTTGAGATAACGCTATTTCTAGATATTTTGAATCCATGTATTTTAACTCATAACTTGGGCTACATATTTTTTGTATCAATCATTCAGGATTTCTTTCCCATATTTTTCCGAAAGAGTGCATATTAGGAATATCAGAAAAAAAAATTGAAAAAGGCTAAAGTGTTTACTACTCGGTTTACTACAAAAAAAAAAACAATATGCTCGACAATATGTTTTAGGAACAATTCAAATATTTCCCAAAAAAATCTAAAAATGCTGATATCTCAAAAACGACGAAACTTTGCATAAGGGTAAATGTGGTCAAACAGCTCCCTAATGACCCCAACTATTTCTCATTCAAAAATTCCTATCGATGTACCAAACACCCTGTATACTAATTTTATTTTCTTTTAATTTTTCAAATGAGGAAATAGTATGATTCTTTGTTGCCTGAAATTTGAAATAAACTGTTTATAATCGACAAACTTGATACTTAGTTGGGAAGTTCAACAATTTTCGGGAAAATTGCCCTCAACTTTTGGCTGCTAACGAAATTGGCATTTATTGTTCCTGTTTGCTGCAAAGGTTGTCCCAAAAGACATCTAACAGGATTAGTCGCTGCATGAGTGTTTGAGACATCCGAAAGTGGTTGTTTGTTGTTTAAGAGCACCTAAAAATGTTGTGAGCTTCCTTAAAAATGTGTGTTGTATTCGTTTGTCTAGGTACTTGTTATACAATTCAGTTAAAAAACTTATTACCTAACTCATTTATTGCATGTTATACTGCTGTAATGAGCTTTTCTCTGGACTTAGCCATTGGTTGAATCACCATTACTTAAATATTTCACTTATGGAAAATGTAATTACATAATGTACCTACTTTTTCGAATGCACAATTTGGCAGGCAATGTTCATTTCTTCAGCCCAATTCAAACAAATAAAGTTATTATTAAATAAAAATATAGGTATGTTACTTTATGTGCCGAGTTATGTGCATAAGAAAAAAAACTTATAACAACTGTTTTGATAGAACGACAAAGGATTGAAAAACTACCTCAGTATAAATCATGGCTGCAAGAACAAGAGAGGCTAGAACAAGAAAAGGAGAAGGAAGCCGAGGTGCAAAGAGCTCAAAGGTAGCCACCAGTTTAATTAAAAAACTTTATAATGCAATAATTTTCTCTTTGCAGAGAAAAACAATGGCAATTAGTGGAGATAGAAGCACAAAAGCAATGGCAGGAATTGCAGAAGAAAATTGCCTTGGCGCGGGAAGAAAAAATGAAACAAAATATGAAGATCAAACTTGAGTGGGAAAAGGAACAACAGCGGTTGAAGAAAATCAAAGAGGCCAAGGTAAAATTAAACTTTAATTACATAGGCATTTTATTAATTCGTTCTATTCTAAAATTACTCTTTAAAGAAAACAATATTTTGATTAACATGAAAGTCAAATTTACAAATATAAGTGTTACCATACAAAGAATCTCCAAAAGTAAAATTATGTTGGGTTTTTTTGAAACTTAAATGCTTTTGAAATGAAATACATTGCTCTTCTGTAGATTCATAAATTACCTTTGAGTTTTCCTTATGCACAATCATTTTTGCGTTGGCTTTTTTTGGATCATTAAGGGTGGTATATACATTTGCTGATATCGAAGAAACGTCCTTGCATATCTTGATTAAAAATAAATAATCTCTAGAATGATATAGATAAAAACTTCCAACTATCACACTATCATGGGGTAGTCTTATTATTGGCTCACTCAAAAAAAAATTCACGTGTTGGGTCCTGAAATGATCTACAAGATTCAGCAATGACGTTTTATGGTTACAAAATTTCCGACAAATTGGACAAGAATATGTTGCTCCTTCACAATCTTTCTCATGATCCAGAACTTTATCAAAGCACAATAACTCTGTGCAGCCTTCAAATCTGTTTACACAAGGAAATAAAATCTGTCTAGCTAACATTTCATATATGGATGTATTTCCTTTGATCACACTGTCATTTTTGGTGCATCTTCCACAAGTTATTTTTCCTGTTGGATATACCTTCACTGGTGGACATGATAGCAACTGTTTACACTCTGTACACTTTTGGAAATTATAAACATTATCTGGTAGTATATATTTGCTGGACGATGAGGCGGCACCCATTTTTTTGCATTTATCGAAATGGAAATAAATAGTTGTTTGCTTAAATGCAATATCAGCAGCTGATAAGATCCGACACTTTCTTATCTAAAATCTGTAAAATACGCCCATTTGCGCATTTCTAAATCTATTTTCATGTTAATTTCTTTGGCAGTTCAGGATCCAGGCCAAATATAAGAAGAAAGAAAATTCAAAGGGAGTATAAGAAATGGTGGAAACTATGAAGTGTTTTAATGATGTTTTAATGTTGATAATGCCATTAATAAGGACTTCCAATTTTGTTCAAAGTTTATTAGACCTCGGTCTGGCCATGGATCCATATATGTAATTGCTTGAAGAGCTTCAATTCTATCAAATTACTTTTACATGCTATTGTACTACATCTTTTCCAAGTTCTGGAATTTTTCCAAAAAGAGAGAAGGCTGGCAAAGTTATTGACCTTGTCCTCAAAAACTATAGACCCCGATGTATTTTTCAAACAGAATAAATATGAAACTACTAAAGTAAAAGGGATCTATCTGCCTGCAGAAAAATGGTTGTGGCTAGTTAATGCCTCTAGCAAATCTTACAGTTTTCATTTTCAAAACTTCAATTTTATTAGGAAAAAGAGCTAGAAGAAAAACGAATCCATCAAGAAAACCGGGAAAAAGTGCTCTTAGATTTTCTTGAACAAGGGGGGAACACTCCTGAACATCTCAACACCAAAATGGAATCTAACCCTGGCAAACCAGAGTGTCCGTTTTTCCAAAAAGTATCTGCTTGTCGATTTTTTGATGCTTGCTCCAGAAACCATATCAGGCCGGGAGTTAGTAAAGCCCTTTTGATAACAAACTTTTTCACTGACATAAGGTGATTTATTTAATCAAAAAATCCTTTAAAATAAATACGTATATTGTTTTTAGTTTGAGAATAAAAGAAAATGAGCATGGCAGCGATTCAGGTCTAGAATTTGAAAAAGAAGACACATATACAAATTACAAAGAGTTTTTCTTTGATGTAGTTATGGAGATGGAGAAATGTGGCAAAATTAAGTATGTTTTATCCTCTCATATTTTTAAATTTAGTTACCTAACTATTTTAACCTAGTCTTTACTTCTGTCCTTTTCATAGGCACATTCAAATTCCATTGTGGATAGTGACCCTTTGGTTACTTTGGTACACAAATTACTTTTTATTTATTGTAGAAACTTTTTCACTTGTTGCAATCATGAAGCACACTTGAGAGGCAACGTCTACATCCAATTTAAAACTACCAGGGACGCTTTACTCAGTTACCATAAATTTAATGGTAGATGGTACGCTGGGAGACAGTTGAACGTTGAATTTTGTACCATCGAAAATTGGAATAGTGCTATATGTGGTAAATATACTTTATTTTTCAAAATTTTATTGATGAATCAATGTTCGAAATTCTTTAAGGTTTATTCTTTCGAAATAAGTGTCCAAAGGGTAATTCATGTAATTTTTTGCATATATTTGATAATCCCAATGGATTGTATATGCACGTTGAGCCAAAAAGTAGCCAGCGTAGAGGGAGAAATGGGGAAAAGTCTACTAGTAGAAGAAAACATGATGTGGAAGATAGGCAAGTTCCAAAGTTTAGTAAAATTATTTAAGCTCACTTGAATACTTATTTCAGCTGGGATCAAGAACCTTCTGAAAAGCGTAACTGGAGATGGTCTGAATCACCAGAAAGAATACCAAAACACCTCGAAAGCAATGAAGATTGTCCCCATACAAAAAGAAGGAAGTCTGAGTATAAGTCAAACTCTGAATTATCTTCGAGAAGATCTAATAGGCACAGGAGTAGATCAGGCTCAAGGAAAAATAGATCTACCAGGAAACGAAGGAGTAAATCGAGAAGTTCCAGCAGTACAGGTCATAGAAAATCTAGGAGTTTGAAGCAAAAAAGAGGTAGATCTAGGAGTAGGAATAGTAGTACTTGTAGTGGGGGTACTGCTAACAATGACTAATTACTCCATTGCCATTAGTACAAATAATTTTGGAAATTTAAAACAAAATTGAACTTGTTTTCGTTTTGATCAAAAATATATTTGTTTGCATAGAAATAATATTGCTAAAAATAATTATTTATTTCTATTTCCCTTAAAAATTGACTCTGTAAACTACAGGACGCTTCTCTTTTGAAAGGTTATAGCACAGTATTGTTTTCTCTATTGCGGTCGGGTTACAATCGAGCACGCACCCTGAGCTTGATCTCTTTTCCCTGATGCCGATTCTCATTTCAGGGAGTAGATAGAACAAATGTTTTGTCCTTGTCAACGTAATCTAAAAGTGAACGAGAATGATAAGACGAAAAATTTGTTCTCTTGTGTAGCTCTACGCCCTGAGACGGGAATCGGCCAGATGGAGAACCAGAGAAATCAGTTCTATGGTTATCACCTGTCACTTTTGAAAAATTATAACCTATTACTAATAGTAGGAGAGCTGGCAATATTAACGGGTATGTGATCGTTGCAATGGAAAATTATCACATAAAAGAATAGCTCATAGTTACCTTTAAACTAAATGGATGGGTTTCCGTGATTCTCATGGCCGCCACCCTTTGGTGGCTGGGCGTAACTACCCCTATTTTTTCGAAGGAACAATATGTTATCCTTGCAATATCCAAAAATTGGTAGATATATTCTTTAATATGTCTTCTCAAATAATATACGTATAGGGTTGCCTCGATTTTGATGGCCGGAAATGATGGCAACCCTCATTGAAAGTCGAGCGCGCGCATTATTTTGCTTGCTGAATACATTTTTGAAAGTGACAGCTTTCAAAGTCATTTTTAAAGTTAAAAGAGGATTCTGTGAAGAGAATTTTGCATACGGCTGCAGGTCTTTAGACAAAAAAAGAAACATGAAATTGTGTTAATAAAGTGTTTGCCGCATATGATGGGAACCCCCTACACCGCAAGGTACTTCTTATTTGTTGCGCTTATGGTGTTGTTCTATTTATAAAATTATCTTTTTATAAAACAACTTTACGGCCATGGGAATCAAGGCAACCCATCCATTTAGTTTAAAGGTTACTATGAACTATCGTTTTATGTAGAAATTATCCATTGCACCGATCACATACCCGTTGGTATTGCCATCTCTTGGACTATAATTTCCCTAGTGAAGTCCGTCGATTATGCTCCGAAGAAATGTGAGCTGCTGGTGGCTTCCTACGTTAGAACGCCAATGGTCACTTGACGTCACACCTGCTTTTGCCCTATGTTTCACCCTCTCGCTCCTCATACGGAAAGTGTCAGATTAAAAACGATGGACAATAGTTGCATTCATTCCATGATATTGGAACACTAGAGCTACTCGCTCCGGTGTTAAATTGTTACTTTTCATGCATCCGTTTTTCCTTCAATCCGATGATCCGGAAGCATTCCTATTGGTCCAATATGACAAGGGCATAGAATGGACAAGGGTTTCAGGATTTTCTGTGTTCGGCTTATGACCTTGTTTAGGGTGCATTGCGTATTACGTCACGATATCCATGCTTATACCACAGCATATACAAAAACAATCAGCAGGCTAACTTGAGTGACAGCCCGTGTAATAAAGGAATTCATCGTCAAAATGTCACTAGCGGCCATTTTGGGATACGAAACAGGGCCTGATTAACGATAATTTAGGTTTTTTCTTTCCTGTGACAGAGTCGTATTGGCTTTTAATAAACTAATTTATTATTACTTACATATAAAAATGTTTATAATTACTAATTTATTATTATTATTGAATATACAAGAATGATAACAGATAACACCATAAATGACAACACGAATATATCAAAATCGTTTTGAAAATCATAGCTGAAATTCCGCTCTACACCGCACGCCTATGACCTCCGTCAGAAATAAACAAATAAAATAAAATTTCGGCGCTCCTGCCGTTTAATGACAGCGTTTTGACAAAATGGAATCCCCTAATGGCGGCGTGCGCAGAAAAGATGCGCGTGAGAGTTAGCCTGCTGATGCTGTGCTTATACGGTTCCGCTCCGTGGAGTGCAGAGCCGAACTCAGCCAATATAGAGCTCACTCTATGCTGTGCTATAAGTTTCACCCCGGAAAATGATACTTTCAAGAGCAATTACTTATGACGGAAACGCTGATCCGAATAATCCTGTCACCCTGTTTGTTTCTCATCTATAATGAACACAATTTTCACGATTGGATTGATTGGAAAAAGACAAATTACATCGTCGGATCCAAGAATCGGATCAGCGTTTTCGTAAAAACCTTAAGATGCTTGACAATTTTCTGCTCCAAAGGTTTCGGGTTGTATGGGTCAGTTTGCAAAATCTATAGGGACTCTTGTGAGAACTAACACATTATTGGTGTTGGTGAGAACCAGCGCTGCCACTTCTCCACAGAATGAAGTCGGTAGATTCTTGGAAAAATAATCGGTAGCTAGGCGCAAGGTTCCTACACTCTACTAGGTATACACAATCTGCCGATTTTGATGTTAGGCAGCGTGACGTCACAAACGGAATAGAATATTTTATGTGCTTAGCTCTTTTTTTTAATGTGTTTTTCGAAAATAGTGACTTGTTTTGAGACTGTATTGCGTATTGCAAATAAACAATACAAAAAATTACATTATTATTAATTTATGCGAACTGGCGAGACGCTGATGCCTTGTCAAGGTGTGACGTCAAAAACGAATGGAGATAATTCATGTGCTTACCAAGTAGAGTGTAGGAACCTTGGCTAGGCGGTTGCGTCATATGACGTCATTCTGCCACAATTTGTTTAGGTATATAAAACCCTTTGAATATAAAACTACAGGAAAGAGCATAACTTCGAATCTGCGCGACCAAAATATGTGGAGGTTGCATATGGCCGACTAGGCCGACTAGTATTTCCGGTTTGGCAGTGGCGTATATTTATTTAAATATGATTGTCAATATTATGACTCACTCTTTTCGCACTAATCCCAGTGCTTATTATCACTTGAAACTGCTAAAATTCAATAAACATCCACTTGAATGAGGACACAGGACACAGCGAACCACCAAAACAAATGATGAGTCCATACTTGGAGGCTTAATATGGCCGTTTCCGTCCCTGCGTTGTCTGTAGTGACAGATAGAAAATGCTCCTTCCTCTGTAGTTTTATATTCAAAGATAAAACCAGTTAATGAATTTGGTTAAAATTTTATTGTGCAATGTGATTCCCATTTCTCCGTAGGCAAATCAGGGAATCATAGTTAAACCTTAAATTATTGTGTAGCAAACTGTAAAAATTTCAAGATTTCAATGTAGGTCACTCGCTATCATTTGTTGTATTACAAACAAACTGCGAAAAAATCGTGTAAAAATGGGTTAAAATCGGGAGATCGGTAGACTCATTTGAAAATCGGTAGATCTACCGATAAATCGCTAGAGGTGGCAGCGCTGGTGAGAACTTAAAATCCTAAAAAATGAAAAGTCACTACACGCAATAGTTGTATTCCTTTCACACCTAGGAGAAACTCCGGAACAGCTCCGGGGCTTCACGCACTTATTCCTTTCGAAAAGTGTGTGATGCACCACGCATCTGTTCCTTACAAAATCGGGGGCGACTAACACCGGAGCGAGTAGCTCGAGTGTTTTAAACTCTTGAAAGGAATACAACTACATGAAGTAGACGTCTTTTTCTGGCGGAATGTTTTGAAATGTTTTGAAACGTTTTAAAAACTTTACATTTTTGTGTTGCAACGGTGACGTCATATACGGAGGCGGTTAAACCAGTTTCGAACCGCTCTTTCAGCCTGTTTCAAAATAAACGTTAAACAGCTGATCTCAAAATACCCAAAAACAATAATTTTGGGGATGTCGCAGGCTCCGTTTTAAAACGGGGCATTTTTGATCACCACCGATCCGATATGATGACGTAGCAATCGAACCAGTTTTGAAACGTTTTAAAACACGGTTCAACAGAAAAAGACGTCTATAGCTGGGGGAACAGAGCTAATGGAGTCACCCCTAATACGGTAAAAAGCAATACCCGAACCTTAACCCGAACGGCTGGAGTGCGAATGGAGTCACTCGAAGTGCACGGAGTGAGCAAGCCAAACCCACCTTATATAACAGTGAAAGCTTTTCAAAATGGTTTACCGATCGGACATCATTCCGACCTTTTAAAGCTCTTTCTACTCTAGAACACTTAATAGAAAACTACTCGATGGCTCTACCAGTGGCGTAGCCAGGATTTTGTCTTGGGGGGGCAAATTTGCAGGAAACGTCTTTTGCGGCCCTACCGCGACCGCAGGCGCGAAATTTTTGGGTGCCACGCCTCTTTTTCAGGTTTCTTTACGCTATTTTTGGGACTGTTTATCTTAATTTTGAAGAAATATTCATAAAATTTAAGGGTCTTGGGGGGGGGGCAAATGCCCCCCTGCCCCCCCTGGCTACGCCAGTGGGCTCCACAACTCTGGATTTTGCATTTTGCGTTACACCGAACGTGTCGCTCTAGAGCTCCTCGGAGTCACTCCAAAACACACAATTCAGATACTATCAATTACTCTTCAATATTAACAGCTAAAAGGGCTTCTTGCACCCACCGGAAATTTGGTACATGGGAAAGGGGGATGCACTTTTAAAAGGAATGTTCAAGCTTTTCACATTAAAGTCTGTTTTTTTTTTTAAGATAATTCCCCAAGTCAAAAATTTAGTAACATGTTGGCAACACAAGCTTTTTCTACATAAAAAAATTTGAAAGCATTGACAATTTTACATTGTATTGTTAACATAATAGTTGTATTCCTTTCAAGAGCTTGAAACACTCGAGCTACTCGCTTCGGTGCTTAGTCGCCCCCGATTTGCAGGGAACATGCGTGGTGCAACAAACACTTTTCGAAAGGAATAAGCGCGTGAAGCCCCGGAGCTGTTCCGGAGCTCCTCCTAGGTGTGAAAGCAATACAACTATTATTGTTCGTCGATTTTTAACTGATACTTGCGGTATGAAGAGCGAGGGGGTGTTTCATATGGGAAAAACAGGTGTGACGTCAGGTAATCATTGGCGTTTTAATGTAGGGAGCCACCAGCTCACATTCCGTCCGAGTATCAGATTAAAATCGACGAACAATATTGTCATTTTGACTTTATTCTTTAAAAAAAAACACACTTTAGTTACATTCCTTTCAAGAGCTTGAAACACTAGAGCTACTCGCACCAGTGTTAGTCGACCCCGATTTGAAAGGAACAGATGCACTGGCTTTCATGCATTTAAATGGTTTGAGTCGGGCTTCAGCACTCAGGTGCAACAAACACTTTTCGAAAGGAATAAGCGCGTAACGCCCCGGAGCTGTTCCGGAGCTCCTCCTAGGTGTGAAAGAAATACAACTATTGAGCTGCTCCGAGTAGCTCAACGGGTAAAAGGAATACAGTCACAACTGTGGTTGTTTTGTTTGATTATCATATGTCAAAAAAAGTAAACAAACAAAAAAAAAAGCTACTTATTATTGATTATAGATTGTTTTGTAGTTTATCATTTTAAAATGTGTAATTGAGCCTACCATGAGATAAAATCTCAAAAGGAAATATGTACCAATTATTGTAGATAAACCGCATAATCCCAGAGTGCCATGATTTATTTTAAAAGAGGAAAACGTGGAAAACAAGACTTGAAATGACTATTCCCTCAAAGTACAGTATATCGGGTGCATATACTCTGTTAAACACACCTTCTACTTCTAAAAAGAAATACAAAAACTTTTTTCTATTCATACTAGTAATATCGGCTTTGATAGTTGCAAGCCTCCCCTTTATAAACTACTCAAAAAACGAGTCCAGGAAATTTGTTAAAATCAATCTTGACAATATAGGACAACTACAAGAAATTAAACTACAACCCAGTGACAATGTAGGAAGACCAAGAAACCCAAAATGCAATCACTGGGACTGTTTCAACATTTACCGGTGTGGTCACACAGGACATGATAGAATAGCAGTTTATGTTTATCCATTGGAGAAATATTTAGATGAAAATGGCAAGACAGCATTTGAAGGAGTATCAAAGGAATATTATGATTTATTAAAGGGGATTGTGGATTCAAAATACTATACAGCAAATCCTAATGAAGCTTGTGTGTTTATTCCATTTTTGGATACTTTGAATGAAGAAAGGATTGATGTTAATTTGAGTTCGAGGATTTTGAATCAATTACCACAGTAAGTAGATGCAAAAATCGATTTTTATCCAGAGAATGAGAATTATATATGCATTCTGTTGTGAAATATAGGGACCATCTATTGAAAAAAGCCTATGAAATAGCATTTTTTCTTAAGAGCCCTATAACCTTACTACAAATGCTATATTTCCCCACGTCCCCTAATAGGTAATGTTTTTGAATATCTTTTAAACTGAGTTTAAAACTAGGCATATGATATGTGAACATTCAAAATCTCTAATAAAAAGTGTTATCATTGAAGTAATAATATATATTTGAATGTAAGCTTTAGTTGTTACAGAATATATACAATACAGAATATCAAACAGAGTGAAGTGTTTTATCTTTTGTGAGTTCTTCTATGGCTATCATTCAGGTCTATAAACCTAGCAGTCCCAAGGTGGAAAAAAACTTCGGGAACTATATAATAATTAGGTGCTTTTTAGGTGCTAATTAGGGCCTCTAATTAAAAATTAGGTGCTCCTTAAGTTTTTGAGAAAATCAAAAAAAACTAAGGGACTGCTAGGTTTATAAAAGCTAGCAGTCCCCTATAGTAAATAATATTTTTTCAAATTTTTTCTTTGTATCAGAATTAGGTGCTTTTTAGGTGCTCCCAAATAGTCCAAGAAAAAATAGAATTGATTAATTATTGAGTTAATTATTAACTGAGTTACAGATTTTTTTTTAATTATCAGGGGACTGCAGGCTTTACGTTTATATGTTGGTGTGTCAGAATGGAAAAAAAACTTCGGGATCTATATAATAATCAGGTGCTTTCTAGGTGCTAATTAGGGCCTCTAATTAAAAATAAAGTGCTCCTTAAGTTTTTGAGAAAATCAAAAAAAACTAAGGGACTGCTAGGTTTATAAAAGCTAGCAGTCCCCTATAGTAAAAAATATTTTTTCAAATTTTTTCTTTGTATCAGAATTAAGTGCTTTTTAGGTGCTCCCAAATAGTCCAAGAAAAAATAGAATTGATTAATTATTAACTGAGTTACAGATTTTTTTTTAATTATTAGGGGACTGCTGGCTTTACGTTTATATGTTGGTGTCTCAGAATGGAAAAAAAACTTCGGGATCTATATAATACTTAGGTGCTAATTAGGGCCTCTAATTAAAAATTAGGTGCTCCTCTAGTTTTTGAGAAAATCAAAAAAAAAAAAACTAAGGGACTGCTAGGTTTATAAAAGCTAGCAGTCCCCTATAGTGAAAAATATGTTTTCAATTGCTTTTTTCGACTATTTAGGAGCACTTTAAAAGCACCTAATTTTGATACAAAAGAAAAAATTGGAAAAATATTTTTGAAAGCTAGCAGTTCCTTAGTTTTTTTTGATCTTCTCAAAAACTTAAGGAGCACTTTATGTTTAATTAGAGGCCCTAATTAGCACCTAGAAAGCACCTAATTATTATATAGATCCCGAAGTTTTTTTTTCCATTCTGACACACCAACATATAAACGTAAAGCCAGCAGTCCCCTAATAATTAAAAAAAATCTGTAACTCAGTTAATAATTAATCAATTCCATTTTTTCTTCGACTATTTAGGCGCACTTAAAAAGCACCTAATTCTGATACAAAAGAAAATTTTGGAAGAATATATTTCACTATAGGGGACTACTAGCTTTCATAAACCTAGCAATCCCCGAGGGGTATTTCACTGAAGTTTTTTTGTACATATATTGTGCAATACTCAGGTACTGCAGAGTATTGTGGACTATTGCAAAATATTGCCGAATGTTTCTAGGTATCGCAAACCAGTGTGATTATTGTGAACTATTGCAAGTTATTGCAGTACATACATACAGGGTGTTTAGCGGAGGGTTAACCAAGCTTGGTGGGCATATAGATACGCCCATTTTAAAGATATTTTAATAATACATGTGTGCCCTTAAAGTTCCCGGTTTTTTTATATCATTGCTTTTGCTTTATTCTCAAGAATTTTCAAAAATGGACCTTTTAACTTCTGTAAAAAAAAATTTTGTTTCATGTATTTTTGGTCTGTAGGGTCTCCTTGATCTAATAAAGTAATAGAGCTTACAACTAATTATTCCGGTAGTATTTGTGCCTAATTATTACTTTATTGGATCAAGGATATCAAATCAAATCAAATGTGCTTTATTGTCAAAAAAAAATAAACATTTTTGCGGACAAAGCAGACTAATTCTAGGTGAATAACAATAAATAGGTAAGTCATAAATAGGTAAGAAACCGTCGAATAAACACACACAAAAAAAAACATTAAAAAAAAACAAACAAACAAAAATATGCAAATTATACAAGCACCATCAGCCACAAAAAGCACCAGAGCACTAAATGGTGTCATCATTAAAATATTCCTCAGTTCTGTAGTAGGCCTTTTCGATGAGAAACGTCTTGAGAATTTTTCTAAAATGCTTCAAGCCCCGCGCGTTTCTGATCACGACGGGAAGGTGGTTGAATATTTTTCTTCCCTCATAAATAATTGACCTTTGCACCAGTGCGCTTGAGGGAACCGGCAATGGAAGGTCATGAATTTGCCGAGTGATGCGTACACGAACAGGATCACGGTCATTTCTTGGGTTCTTAAAAATAATCGATGCAGTTTCAAGAATGAAGAGACCAGTAAGAGTAAGAATCTTTTGAGAAATAAAATGGGGTCTGCATGAGTCTCTGTAACCAACATTAACAATGGCACGAACAGCCTTTTTTTGCAGAAGAAAGATAATATTCAGTAGATTCTGGGAAGCCACACCCCAGAATGGAATGCCATAGCGTAGGTGGCTTTCGAAAAGAGCAAAGTAGACTGTCCGCGCTACTAGCAAACCAAGCTCAAATCTAGTAGTTCTTATGGCAAAACATGCCGAGGACAGCTTACTGCTTAATCCCATGATATGGGACTCAAATTTCAAGCCAGAGTCAATATGAACACCCAAAAATCTATTCTCTAATTTGGCCTGCAGATCCTCACCCTCCAGCCTCACTTCCCGGACATCACCCCTAAAACAAACAAGGCTAGTTTTGGCGACGTTAAAAGAGAGGAGATTTGCACTGCACCAGCTTTTGACCATTGCCAGATCCTCCGATATCCGGTACCTCAATTGATCAGTATCTCTGTCGTGCCATACAATAGATGTGTCGTCTGCAAAAAAAGTGAATCTCCCAGTAATGTTTACCAAGGACAGATCATTGACATAGACCAGAAACAACAAAGGACCCAACACCGATCCCTGAGGGACCCCATGACGCACCTCAAGTGCTAAAGACCTGGCGCCGGCAACAACCACAGACTGCCTGCGTCCACCAAGGTAAGAGGAAAACCATTGAAGAGCCTCGCCCCTGAAGCCGTAACACTCTAGCTTGGCCAGCAGAATTCCGTGTTCGACACAATCGAAAGCCTTCGATAGGTCACAAAACACCGCTGACACCGCCTCTTCCGCATTAATGTGCTGGTACACGTGATCCAAAAAGGACAAAATGGCATCATGAGTCCCCTTCGCATTTAGGAACCCAAATTGGTAGGGAGTAATTAAATTGTGTCGTTGAAGATAGCTGAGAACTTTTTTTTTGACAATTTTCTCGAAAACCTTGGAAAGCGCAGGCAGAAGCGATATGGGACGAAAGTTAGAAGGATTATCACGGTCACCTCCCTTGTGCAATGGAATAACGACAGCCTCCCTCAAGCACGCCGGAAACTGACCACTGCTCCACGAGCTGTTAATGGAGAAGGCCAGCGCTTTCAGGGCAGCATCCGGCAAGCGGAGAAGCACCTCGACCGAGATTTCATCGTGCCCACAAGCCCTCCTATTCTTGATGTTGCCCAAAGTATCCCTGACCTTGTTCAAGTAAGTAGGAAAAAATGAAAAAGAATCGCGTAGAGAGAAACCATTCAAAAACAAAAGTGGGTCACGAGCAGGACTCAGTTTTTCATGAAGGGTGTCAGCTATGCTGCAGTAGTAGTTGTTTAGACGGTCTGGATCTACCTCGATATCATGAGAGCGTTGCCCGCCATGCCTGCAACACAGCTCATTCACAATTGACCAACTCTCCCTCTGTCGGTTTCCCGCCCCTGCGAGCCTCTCAGCGTAGTACGCTGATTTTGCGGATTTAATCACCCTTTTATAAGTTTTCAGGTATGCTTTACAGTAGGCCAGGAAGTTAGGATTATCAGAGAACTTTTTCATGTAGTTAAGAGACCGCACATTTGCAGCTGATATTTTTATGCCCCTTGTAAGCCAAGGCTTGCGTTTCTTACTCTTACATTTGATCCATCTAAGATGGAAAGCCCTCTTGAAGGCATCCCGGGTGACGGTATAAAATGATGAAAAAGGAACAGGCGACCGCTCAATTCCGAGCCAGTTCACATCCAAGCACAGCTGATAAAATCTCTCGTAATTCGCCGAGCAGAAGACCCTGCCACGACGACGCGTCGGTCGCAAGTTGGCCGAGGCTATGGGGAACACACCAATCACCGCCTCGTGATCAGAAATACCGGCACTAACTACAGCACACGTAGCTTCGCCACTGGTAGACCACATGTAGTCAATTGTCGTAGCTGAGATTCTAGATATGCGGGTAGGTGTTGACATGCATATCCAGACTATACGACTTTAACAAGTTGGCCAGCATAATAGTGCTTACTGAGTGTTTGTCTTGATAATTAATGTTAAAGTCTCCAGCAAGAATTATGTTAGAAGAGGCTGGTAATTGAGACAAAAGAATGTCAAGGCGCTCAAGAAACTCATCCACTTGAGCCGAAGGCGATCTATAAATACATACAATATAAGTGTTATCTAGTTTGCTATAACAAATTGAAAATTCAAAAATGCTCTCTGACAATAAAAAATTAAACTTATCCACATTAACAAAATGATTAAAAAAGTGCGAAGATGACCTAACTAAAATAAGAGTACCACCATGCAATGAATTATCTCTACAGAACGATGAAACAAGAACGTATTCGCTAACACAAAAGCACTCGCCAGGCTTGAGCCAATGTTCCGTAATCAAAATAATATCCAGAAAATTCATGCATTCGAGGAACAAGAAAAGACTGTCGCATTTTCCTCTCAAGGATTGTACATTCAACAGTAACACAGACAATTTACAAAAAATAATTTCGTTCCTAAGGATTTCTTTATGCTTATTTTTACACTTCCCCTCATTGAGGGGGGCAGCTATAAAAAATTATTTTCGCTAGAGTTTGGATAAGCATCAGCGAATGAATGTCTCTGGTTTTCAAAAACAGAGTCATTCACAATGGTATTATTATTACACAATTCATCTTCTTGAATCTCAACAAAAATTAAATTACTATTACAAGTTGCTACTTCCGCATTTAAAATTGTGCTCGCCAGAACTCTACAAATTGACCTATATCCTAATTTGAATCCTTGTGGAGAGTTAGAACTCACAAATGAAATGGAATTACTAGAAACAGAGTTAAATCTTTCAATTATGTTGGCTAATTTCCTATTAAAATGATACGCCCTTAAATTAAGCCTGTAAGGGAATAAATAGGGAATTGAGAGAAAAATAATGTTTGTATGATTACAATTTTTGAGCACCTCAATTATTCCTTTTATAAGAGGAACATTGCCATTTAACAAGTCATTTGACCCCGCTGCTATAATAATGAAATCTAAACTAGTAAAATTCTGAGATAAGTCAATTACACTATCAATAACACCACTGAACTGGGCACCTGATTTAATAATATGTTCAATTTTGAGTTTTTTGTTGGACACTTTGGATAATTCAGAACGAAGAGGGTTGGCCATGTATCTGCTTTGTTCATCTGACAAAAATAGGATTTTTCTGGTTCCATAGACCTGAGGTGCGGAAGAGTCGGGAGGCACAGTTTCAATAGGTGCGTCCTCAACGAAGGTACTTGAATAACATTGGGTTTCCTTATGTGATTTTTCGCGATGTAAACCCGTTTGAATGTTGAAGCAATCAAGCTTGCAGGCCTTTAAATCGTTCAGATAATAATCTCTTTCCTTTTCCAGACTGTCGATGCTAGTAAGTACAGACCAAAAACACACACAATATAAAAAATGGGGAACTTGAGGGCACAAGTGTATTAATAAAATATTTTCGAAACGGGCCTATCTATACGCCTACCAAGTTTGTCTAACCCTCCGCCAAACACCCTATAGGTACTATGTACTACCCACTTGACCTATTTCTTCAAACTTTTATATTTTTATTTTATAATATTTAAATCTTTATGATCTAAATCTGAATGGTGTGAGATCATCAGTGTCATAATGATGTCATCTTTTCCAGGCCAGGTAAACTGGCATATGTTCAATTTTAGAAACTTCACTTTGCTTCCGCGGGATCTCCAAGGGGAGCTCTCAGTGTTTCACAATATATTAGTTTTTTATGCCTGCATTGGGTGATCCTGCAATATTTTTCTCAATATTACGTGCTTTGCTTCACTAGGCCAGTAAAGTATTAATTATTTAACTAGGCAGTTCGCTCAGTCATTCTACTACTTTGCTGTCTTAAAGGTTGCCCTTACTTAGTGTCCAATTACCATCAATATTTACTCAAAAATCGTGCCCTCATATTTCACAGTTGTCCTATTTTCCTACACTCGTAAGTTAAAGTTATAATAAAGTGTAACAAAGATTAAAATCCGTAGGTATTCAAATTTATACCCAACGAGTGATAGTTGCTGATGTATAGCTTTTGGTATACATGAATGGACATACCTATTATCAAATACAAAAAAAAAACTATACACTAAAACAGAACAATCTCAGAGATAATCTCAAGGATTTTGATTGACGAGAGTATAAAAATTAAAGGGACGAACTACTGCAAACCTATTGCAAGCTATTGCGATAGTAGTTTAGATTATTGTAATGGTATTGTCAAATATTGCGAGCGTATTGTAGACTATTGTGAGAGTATTGCAGACAATTGCGAGAGTATCGTGGAACATTGCGAATTATTGTAGACTACTGCGAAGTATTGTGCACCATTGCGAGGTATTGCATTCTATTGCAAGGCATTGTGAGTGAGCTATTCAGAAATTACTGCTGCAATACTACCGAAATTTGTACAAGTATTGTGGCCAGTTAAATACCCCTCGGCAATCCCTTAGTTTTTTTTGATTTTCTCAAAAACTAGAGGAGCACCTAATTTTTAATTAGAGGCCCTAATTAGCACCTAGAAAGCACCTAATTATGATATAGATTCCGAAGTATTTTTCCATTGTGACACACCAACATGTAAACGTAAAGCCAGCAGTCCCCTAATAATTTTAAAAAAAATCTGTAACTCAGTTAATAATTAATAAATTCTATTTTTTCTTGGACTATTTAGGAGCACCTAAAAAGCACCTAATTCTGATACAAAAGAAAATTTTGGAAAAATATTTTTTACTATAGGGGAACTACTAGCTTCTATAAACCTAGCAATCCTTTAGTTTTTTTGATTTTCTCAAAAACTAGAGGAGCACCTAATTTTTAATTAGAGGCCCAAATTAGCACCTAAAAAGCACCTATTTATTATATAGATCCCGAAGTTTTTTTCCATTCTGACACACCAAGTAAATGTAAAGCCAGCAGTCCCCTAATAATTAAAAAAAATCTGTAACTCAGTTAATAATAATTAATCAATTCTATTTTTTCTTCGACTATCCAGGAGCACCTAAAAAGCACCTAATTCTGATATAAAAGAAAATTTTAGAAAAATATTTTTTACCATAGGGGACTATGAGCTTTGATAAACCTAGCAATCCCTTAGTTTTTTTTTTTTGGATTTTCTCTAAAACTAGAGGAGCACTTAATTTTGAATTAGAGGCCCTAATTAGCACCTAAAAAGCACCTAATTATTATATAGATCCCGAAGTTTTTTTTTCCATTCTGACACACCAACATATAAACGTAAAGCCAGCAGTCCCTTAATAATTTTAAAAAAATCTGTAACTCAGTTAATAATTAATCAATTCTATTTTTTCTTGGACTATTTGGGAGCGCCTGAAAAGCACCTAATTCTGATACAAAGAAAAAATTTGAAAAAATATTTTTTACTATAGGGGACTGCTAGCTTTTATAAACCTGGCAGTCCCTTAGCTTTTTTTTGATTTTCTCAAAAACTAAAGGAGCACCTAATTTTTAATTAGAGGCCCTAATTGGCACCTAAAATGCACCTAATTATTATATAGTTCCCGAAGTTTTTTCCACCTTGGGACTGCTAGGTTTATAGACCTCTATCATTCCTATCCTTGAAGAAATTACTCTGCTGGGCTGGCCTATTTTCTGCTGTGTAGTTTGGCAAGGACACCACTCCATATCTTGCCTGCTTTTCAATTTTTAGGGTCTCGTAGAACAGAACACATCTTTAAACCACTTCAGCTGACCACAGCCAACCACCTTGTTTCTGACAACCTTCAATCAACTCTCCATACCAAACACATTTGGCTAAATGGTTTTCTGGCATACCAGCAACATCTGCCCAACCTGTGTAACGATTTATCCAATGCTTTTGCATTATGCTCTTCGCAGAGTTTTGTTATTTGAAACTTTTGCAGTTGTCTTTGCTTAAGCTGCTCCAAGGTTTTGATATGTCTTCTATAAGGTATCCACATCTCACAACTGTAATTTAATGCTGGTATTATTGTAGCTCAATAGACAACTTAGAGTAGCATCATCAAGAACATCATGGTGTTCAAATACTCTGCTCTTAGTATCGGTGTTTTCAGTAATTGAAATGGTTGACATATTCTACTAGGTTTTCTTGATTCTTTAATACCGACGATTTCCATTATGAGTCTCTGTGTCGTAGGCTGACCCTTTTACCATTGTCGATAAGAAGACGAAACGGGGATCTTGACAATCTTTTAAGGATTCTTAACAGATTTGCTGAACTTGACTTCTTCTCTTCTGCACTCATAAATTGTTATTGTCTCAATTAGCTCGCCTAGAAGGTAGTAGGTATTTCGGTAGGTTTATATTTGCTAGTTTAGATATTCAGTGTAAAATGGATAGCATTGTCCGTCAATACTTAAATAAATAAATAAATAAATAAAGGGTCTAAAATAAGTAGCATGCTTCTTGGTTTCTAGCAGCAAGTCACACATCGGATGCTACTTTGGTATGAATACCCACTTACGTATAATATGTATTGTACAAAATGTAATACTTTCTACTTTCCCAAGCAAATTCCCTATTGTAGCGTATAGAAAAATCTCGTGGTATTCTTTTTTCTCATTTTCAAAATGTAAGCACCTTATTTCAGTTCTCTTTCTATTCTATATCCTGGTAGTATGGTCACACGATAATAAAAGTTCACAACAGTAATATACCTAATATAGTGAAGTTTGGATATAGTGAACTCAAAAAGTTCATCAAAATTGATTCACTATATACTATATCCAGTAAAAACTTATATGGGAATTTTTTATAGGAATTTGGAAAAGCGTTCATTATAACCCAGTGTTCACTTTTATCAGGTTTGCTCGAGAGTTTTATATATCCGAACTCTACTGTATGTAAGATAGAACATTAAAAAATTTTGATTACAGACAATCTATATTTTTCTAGGAAATAGTCCAATTAGATTTTTCCTCCGATTTTTCACACAGTCAAGAAGAGACATTTTGTATATTGCTACAAAATACATAATTTTATTGAAATTTTCAGATGGTCGAACGGAGAAAATCACATCATCTTCAATATGATATCTGGCCAGGCACCTGATTTTTCAACAGTTCCAGATTTACAAATAGAAAGCGCCATGATTGCTGGTGCGAGCTTTGATACTTATACATTTAGGCAGAAATTTGATATATCCATTCCAGTTTTTAGCCCGGTAGCTAAATTTGCTGAAGTTAAAAGTATCCATCATTCGAGGTAAGAATATTATTATTTTTCATTTTCAATGTGGCTAGAGATAATAAATTTAAGAATCTATCTAATGTTATGGACGTTTTACTGATAAGAAAAACATTTATATGACATAGAATGATTTTAGGAAGTGCAAACGGTGCTACCGTTATTTTTTTCTATGTGTTTTTTCCGAAGAGTTTCATAATTTTCTCGTAATTTTCTGAAAGATGCAGAAAATAATCTGCATCAAAATTTAAAAAAAAAATGCATACAAAAAAAAAGAACTGTAAAAATTTACCTATTTATTCATTTATTAAGGACTTGGAAAATCATCTCATCTCAGCTAAACATTGATCCTTACTACTTGGAAGAATTACAACATTTAAACAAACTGCACCAAGATCAAATATTAATTTTAAACCATTGCCATCATAAGAAATACACAAAACGGTGCGAAGTTAATAATTTGGAAAATGTGTATCACTATCCTCAAGTTTTGAAAGAATCCACGTTTTGCCTAATTTTCCGCGGACATAGAATGGGTCAGTTTATTCTACTAGAAGCCATGGCTGCTAATTGTATACCTGTGATAGTTATGGACGGACATGTTATGCCATTTCATGATGTGATTGGTAAAAATACTTGTGGAATATTTTTCATTATTGTTTATTTTTAAATTTTATAGATTGGAGACGTGTTGCCATATTTATAATGGAAAGTCATTTAAATACGCTCTTGGACGTTATAAATGATATTTCGGAGAAAAAAATAGTTCAAATGAGAAAATCTGTGATGTTTATTTACAATACATATTTTTCTTCAATGGAGAAAATTGCCATAAGCACTTTAGATATAATACAAGATAGGGTTTATCCTCATCAAGCTAGAATATATGATGAATTGAACCTACTTCCTTCCGAGGTAGAATTTACATTATACTTAGAAATTATTAATTTGTAAATACAAATATTTTAGGTAAATTTAAATCCATTATATTTTCCAACAACTGCCCCTAGATCAATAGGGTTTACAGCTGTAATTTTGACTTACGACAGAGTTCAGAGTCTTTATACTCTTATAGAACGTTTAGCCAAAGTGCCAAGTTTAATGAAAATCGTTGTGGTTTGGAATAATCAGAATAAAAATCCACCATCCAGTAAGTATCAATAAGTTTGTTGTGATTCTTTTTTATTTAGATTTTTCTAGTATCACAATTTCCTAAAATATCAAAAGTCATCAACGTAATAAAAACCAAAGCCAACAAATTATCAAATCGATTTTACCCTTATAAAGAAATAGAGACTGAAGCAGTTTTGCATATTGACGATGATATAGTGATGTTAACAGCTGATGAAGTGGAGTTTGCTTTTGAAGTATGGAGAGAGTTTCCAGACCGAATTGTTGGTATGCGACCATCAATATTTGAATTCAGTATGCGATAATTTGGTTGCTTTTAGGGTTCCCATCAAGAACCCACCTATGGGACAATGTCACGAATTCGTGGAAATACGAATCAGAATGGTTGAATGAAATTTCCATGGTTCTTACTGGGGCGGCGTTTTTGCACAAATACTGGAGCTATTTGTACACAAATAACTTGCCATCCAATATAAAGGACTGGGTAGATGATAATATGAATTGTGAGGATATAGCTATGAATTTTTTAGTTGCTAATGTTACTAATAAGCCACCGATGAAGGTAAGTAGCAATTCCCAACTAAATATTGTGCATGAAAATCAGTCCCGAACTATTAAGCAATCTAACAATAACTTCTTTTGAGGAAAAATAAAATAAGTTAATAATCTATTAAAATTTAAACAAAGAGTTATAGATAAGATTACAGGTAAATGCAAATTTAAATATGAAATATAACAATGAAAAAATCAACGATTCTAGAAATAATATAAATAAGCTAATTATTGTCTGGCCAGTGGATCTAAACTTTTTTGAAAAGGAAATTAAATCTGGAGGTAATAGAAATATTGTAAACTGAAAACAACCTGTTAAAATTTGTGAAATTTTGAAATATATAAGTAAATGTGCATCTGGTTTTGATCATATTTTGACACAAACAATATAAAACACCTTTACTAATACATTACACTAGAAATTAATCAAATTTTTGAGACTCCTATAGTTCCGATCCAATTTAAAACATCTATTGTTACTTATTTACATAAAGGAGGCAGTGAGAATCAATATTTCTTTTATTTAATACATGAATTGCTTAAATTTCATAATACCGAAACAACAAATTTTTAGCTTCCATATTTGTTATTCTGTTCAGTGCTAGTTGTTTGTAATAGATTTTTTTTCTAGGTGACTCCAAGAAAAAAATTCAAATGTCCTGAATGTACAAATAACGAGATGTTGTCAGCGGACATAGGTCACATGGTGGCCAGGTCCCAATGTGTGGATAGATTCGCTAAAATATTTGGTCGGATGCCGTTGAAGTCGGTAGAATTTCGTGCAGATCCTGTACTTTTCAAGGACGCGTTCCCTGAAAAATTGAAACGTTTCAATAATATAGGTAGTCTGTAACTGTTTCTAATGTGATTTATTTGTGACATAGCATTTTTTATAACTTTGCCATTCACTTAATTAGGTACTTGTTCAGCTATAAATGAGCAGCTAGAATAGGTGTAGGTATATTTAGTGTGGGTTTTCAAGAAATTTGGAACCACCAAACGAGGGTTTTTTAAGCCTGAATCATGATCATTGTGGTACAATAATTTATACCTTGGCATTTTATTTGTTTTGACCTTAGCAATAAATTAAGTAAAACAATTAGCTATTTACGTTTATGCCTAAATATTGTGTTCAATCATTTACATTTTGTTTAAAATAAAATCCATAAAAATCATAGTTTATTGAAGTATTGCATTTCTTTATGGCTCAAAACAGGAAAACAGAAGAACCAAAAAAGAGTTTCTTCAAATAGGCACCATTTTCACCAACAGCAGAACAGTATTCTTTTCAGGATTTTGCATTGAACAATAATTATTACAGTTTTCCATAAAAATACTTCGTTTGCCTCAGCAATAATAGTATCAAAAGCCTCTCAGCTCTTACATTACCCTCTAGCAACACCAGGAATTGCAAATCTCTCAGTCCCATTGTTATTTATATTTTATTTCATACCTACTGTATTGTAATATACTCCATTACGTTATTGATTTCAGTCCGGGAAATCATTTTCCCGGACTGAAATCGAAAATTTGCAATTTTACAAAGACAAGGCCTATTTTTTACCAAATATTTTATTTATAACAAAGTCCAACAAATATCATTCTAAAGTCACGTGACTTTTCTCTATCCTTGTTGAATACATCTTGAAGAGCAGTGATGGTGAAATTGAAAAAAAAACTCGATGTTTAATTATTGTTCATAATATTCTTACCTGAAATAGAATCCGTCACTGTCATCATTTAGTTTGTCAAAGGTAATTTTGACTATTATATATTTATTAATCTTTCTCCAACTCGAAAAGAAGCAAATAGAAAACGGGTACCCGATTCAAGTTCAGAATGTATTACAATGGACAGCAGATGCGACCAAAGTGAGTCTCGCAACAATTGCAAGTAATAAAATTCCCATCTGATTGGTCAATACTATTTCAGAAACGCGTTTGTAAAATGCTAGTGGGAACATATCCTAAAATTCAATAGTAATTACCCACTAGTAGCTTTTTGTAGGTGATATCAACGACATAATCAAGAACATACGTTTTTTGCCACCAATATCACGTGACTTCAAAATGGTATTTGTCGGACTTTACCTTTATACAAAAAAAAACTACCTATACTTACTTATAAACATGAACAGTTATACTGCAATTGGAATTATCGGATATTTTCAAAGCAGCAGAAGCAGATTGATCTTCGCGTTCTTTGGTTACCAGTTGGGAAGATTGATGACTTTGAAGAACATCCACTAAAGTTTCTCCTCCTTGAATCATTCTGGCCACCTTTGTTTTTGTTTGCAAAGACTCCTCTACGTATTTTTCCGCCACACTGCTTGCTCTTCCATCCACCGTGACGTTTTAAAACATTAATGTCGGCCCCAACGTTGGCTAGAAGGGTTGCAGACGTCCGTCTAAAACAATGCCCTGTGTATTTTTCAGGACTATCCAGATTCAGAAATTCGGCAATTTTTCGTGGTGCTCCTCTAATCGAATGTATAGGTACCCACTCTTTGGCCTATATATTTGCCTTTTCTATAACATACCTACGAAGAATGCTTTTTTCTGGTAGGTTTTTGGGACGCAGACTGCGATAGTGACGAAAAGTTTTTAGAAAATTTTCTTCTATTACTGTGAACACCCTTTTCACGTAGGTATGTTTTGGCCTGGTTAATGCTTACAATCAACTGGGTCCCTGTATCCTCTATGTCCTCTTTATTCAGTTTGTAGAGTTCGTTCCTCCTACACCCTCCACAGATGCCCAGCAGTGCTATTACCTGAAACAATACAGAATACTTATGACACATACTTATAGATAGTGAAAGTGAAAATTACTTATAACGTTAAATAAAAGCTGAAAAAGCTAACCTTTATCAATAAAAGTGTCTCCGTTGGCGCATCTTGCATGAATCTGTCGACTTCTTTCCTTGTTTAAACCTTCGACTGGTTGGGTCGATGACCAATGGACTCTTTTTTCAGGAAGGCTATAACTTTCGGAAATTTTGAGATGTCGACGTTTTCATTGACTATCAGCATGGATTTCAGCATCGAGTATTTGGCCCATAGTGTGGAACTGTTCGATTTCTTCGACTAAAAATAACCATTCAAATTGAAAATCAGGAATTGATTTTTTTTTTCAATTTTTTCAAGAATACCTAATTATGAAATAGGCTCCTTGCATCAAATTTTTTTATTGCGGATTTCGATAGTCTATGAAGAATAAGTCAACACGTGTTTTTTCTTTTTCTTGTGAGTCAAAAATTGACGGAGATACAACGCTTTGAAATGTCCTTCCGACGTCATAACTTAGGTATAAAACTTTGTGAGTTGTGACGTCGCACATGCTCAGTATATCTATATATATAAAACTCAATATTTGTTATAACTTCCGAAATAATCATATTTCGACAAAATAGAAAAACACGCATCGATTTTTTTTCGATTTCCTACAGTTTGCAATAATCAATATTCAATTTAATTTTTCATGCAAGTACCCTATTACACGATATTTTTTAATTAAAAAATATTAATTCTCGATTCTTACCATGTCTAACAGGAAGGCGAGCATTATATCCTCATTTACCGTTTTGTCTATGTTAAAAGTTGTACGCCACTCGCTGAATATGTCGTATTCTTTCTTATACCGCCCTGAAGATTTAACGGGAATCAATTTTCCAGTTGCTTCGGTGCTTTTTTCTAAAATAGCTGCGATCGCTGCGGATGCATCCATTTTCTCGGCACTTTTAAATTTTATCCACAAGCGTTTGGTTATGAAGTTTTCACATAACCATTTTTCTAGTATTTGAGTTAGTCATGAGACTCATGACTCATAACACAACTAGTGGTGTTATAGAGTTGGTTATGAATCCATAACACATTTTTCGCTTTGTAAACAGGTACTTGGCACTTTACAGGTGTACGATGCAAATTGAAATAGTTATTTATATAACTAGTACGGTATGAGCTTCATATTATTACAGTAACGAGTAGGGAATATTGCCAAGACGAGGTCGTAGACCGAGTCGTGGTAATCACACGAGTGGTGTAATAAGCGTTACCGTACGTGTGATATACAACATTTTATGTACGACCCAGATTTTGAATGAATTTTAAAAAGTGCCGTTTTTCAATAAAAATGAGTTACGTAATGAGCTCTCATTACATCACTAAGCATGATAATGCATCAACTTATTACGTAACTCAAACAGGCTAAAATGAGTTACGTAATAAGCTCTCACAGTGTAGGTCGTACATAAATATAATAATAAGAATTACAAAAACATATAAATTTCAACAAAGCAGTATGAAATAAAACGTTGTACGATACACGGCCGTGAAATGTCATTAAAGTACTCGTCTAGAAATTCCAGACTCGGCTCCTTCGTCGCCTCGTCCGTAAACATCTAGACTTGTACTTTAATAAGTCATTTCCCGGACTAGTAACGTAAATGACTATTTGTTCTTTATGTTATAGGTTTCTTTCCATATTTCGTATTTTGTGATTCTGTCTCGTTTTGTCACTCCTAGCTAGAATTTATGGTGAACACATGGATCCGAGTCTGAAGAATATTTTTGAAGGATCCAAAATTGAAGTTAGGACATGATCATGATTAAGGTGTAAAGACAAGAAACAAAAAACGGAAAAATTGAGCTTTCGAACTCACAGACTGTTACCAGTAAGACTGTGAAATTGCAAATCATTTTAATAAATAGTTTTCAGAAATTTGAGAAAGCTTAGCAGAAGATATTATATTCTCGCAATAGATTATACGGAGCAAATGGACTGGTCCAGTAAAGGTTTGTATTTTCAAAGAGAATAAGTTTTCGTATCGGTGAATTCCTGAGACTCTGAAGTTTGGAGAACTCAAACTTTTGTTCAGAAGTGGTCTCAATATTTCAAAAATGTTTGAGAAAGCAATAAAGCAAAGGGTAGTTTTATTTTTAGGAAAACATTTTATTTAAGAAAAAAATAGTTTGGCCTTAGAGCGGGAAAGTCCGCCGGAGATGCAATATTAAATCACTGCGAGATTTATGAAGCCTCTGGATCAAAGAAAGCCATTATTATGTGTCTTTGTTGACTTGACCAGAGCCTTTGATAGGGTTTAACATGGAAAACGTACTGGCTTATTTGAATGAAAGACCTCAATATGTGAAAGTAGAAGAGCCCACTCTTCGGCTGAGAAATGTCACGTTTGATGTACCGCAGGAAACAGTTATTGGGCCTCTTTTATACAAAATTTATCGCAACAAACTCTAAAAAGCAAACTATGGACTACACAGCCATCATCTCTTATAAAGGAAACTCTTGGCTTTATGTAAGAAAACAAGTAGGATCATGCGTGGTATCTTTAAGTGGTTCCAAACCAACAAACTTATCCTAAACCAAGCAAGGACTAAATTTGTAGCCTTTGCGTCATACGTAAATAATCTACCTGTTATTTCGCGTTTTGAATGTGGGAGAAAACATGTATATTGCGGGAACTGACTGTATGGGAATAATCGTAGATCAACATTTACGATGTGATAAACAAAAAAAAAACATGTACTCGCTCAAAAATAAAATACTTAATTACTCGTTTCTTCCATTGAAAGTCTAACCTCAAGAAAGAGTAGGTAAATAACAAGTGTCTACTTTTGCATTGGTACAATCACAACTCGTTGGTTGGGGCAGTCCGAAATTGCTACCTCAACTGACCAATTGTTAGATGAGGCCAGGATGTTTGTTTAATATTAGACAACATTATTTTTGGAATACGTAAATGTTGATCCATAAAATATCATGAGAAAAATAATAGATTTAAGAAAGATTGTATGATGGTTCCGGTAAGCAGAAAGGAAATAGGACATAAATCAAATAGGTACAAAATATTCCAACTTTTTTTTAAAAACTTAAAAGACGTTTGTATTTTTGGAAGTATGTATGTATGTATCAGTCAGGATTTCCGAAGAATGAGAGGCTGCGTTATTATGTTCTTCTCAGGATTATGATTATCCTTAGTGGCCGTTGAATCCAAATGTTGCAGAGTCGAATCTTTGATTTGTGGGTTCAATAATTCCCATCCACCAAAATGTAATAATGAGATTAATGGTATATGCAAAATGTGAAACCAATGATGTCATGAATTGTAAATCAGCCATAAGTTGAGGTAAATATATAACAGAATGTTGCAGAAAGAAGAACACGCCA